GATCAGCATCTATCCTTGGGCATCTCTGGCGAAGCAGGGTGATGGGAGAGGCCATGCTGGGGACCATTGCTGCCGGACCTTCCTCTGGACACTAAACTACAGCAAGACTCCAATGAGATTCCTCAGGGGTAGTAGTTTTGACCAGTTTAAGTGAATTTTGAGAAGAATGAGTAGAGGAAGAGCTGACACCCACAGCACGCACATCCACACCTCCTGTCTCTGGTGCCGCCACTCAAGGGGCCAGAGCTGCTCACAAAGAACAGTAATGAGGATTTTTAATGATGTAAACTGCATATGTTGCCTTTTCTCAATCTAGGACACAGAAAACCAACTTCAGGCAGGAGCTCCCAGGCAAATCCATCCCAAGAGATTGGCACCATGAAAATAGGAACCTGGGGAGCGGAGGCACGCTGGAGATGTGGGTTATTGGTGGCACCTCCCAGTCCCCTTCACCAGGGCTGGGTGGGTGTCAGGGTTTCTGAGCACATCCCCAGGTCTTAGAGTCAGTGCCCTGAGGCCTCATAGTAGAATGGGGGTGGCCAGGACAGGGTGTCCTTTGGGGGAAGGAGAAAGAGCAGCTTCTGCACATTTCATTTTCCTGTTCTCTATTCTTTTGTGCAGAGCGCGTGTTTAAGGTCTGTCTCTATTCATCACAAACGCACTTCTTCACTAACTGCTCTCCCAGCCCCAGCACGAGCACACAACTCACACTAAGGCATCAAGCCACGTGGCTCAAAGGGATTGTGGTCTGCAGGCACTGTGAGTACCTCAGCTGCTGCAGACCCATGCCCCCAGGACATGCAGGGCCACGGCTGTGAAATCATGGCTCAGCAGTTCCCTGTGTGACCCAAGCATCACCAGGAGCAATGACTGAGGTCGGGCTCCCTGGGTTTGGGGAAAAACTTGTGACAGGATGGAGGAGCAGCATCGGCTCAGGATGCGGCAAGGTGACCCTGGGGACCTGCAGATAAACTGGAGCAGACAGGAAACTGGAGGGATGCCCTGGGACACCCTTGCTCAGTCCATCCCAGATGCTGGAGACATGGTTTTGGAGGGCTTTGCAGAAAAACAGTCGTACTGTTATTTCCTAATCTCTTATTTCTTCAGAAGTTTGGGGTAACTGGACCCAGTATCCTTATTTTCTAATAAAGGACAGGTAAATTATGAGAGCCCTAACTGATTTGCATGCCATGTGTTGGGTGAAATGAAGCACGTGCATTCCATGCTGGCCCTGCACCTTGCCAGGAGCTACCAGTGCTGCTTCCCCAAACCTCTTAGGTGAAGAACCCAGTGTGGTGATCATCCCGTTTTCAACAGTCACCCAAATGCACAGAGTGCTGAGCAGCAGAGCCTGAGGCCGCTGTCGGTGCAGACTCATGCTGTGACATACCCAGCTTCCAGCTAACTCCATTACCTGGGGGCAGGTGATGTGCAGTCAGCTGCTGGCTCGTGCAGCCGTCGGGCCATGCAGGTCAGCTCCCTGCAGCGTGACTCTCCTCAGCAACTACCCAGGAGCCAAAACCAGGCCAATCCTGTTGTCGGGGTGCGTGTGCCTGCATCCTACCATAGGATGCTGTGGAGAAGTCGCTCTGGTTTCCTTTCCCTTCCTCGGTGTGGCAGACGCTGCTGTTCCTGGGGACCGAAGGCTCTCCTTGGTACCCCCGTAACACAGCCAGAAGGCAGAGTGATGTAGACCCCAGCCCAGGGTGGCAGCTTGGTCACAGGCTTGTAGGCACAGCAGGGCTGGGTGACCACAGCTTCCTGCACTGCACCCTGTACTGGTGAGATTAAAGTCATTTCCCTCTGCCACAGAGGCACAGCTGCCAACCATTGCCTGAGCCCACCACCGATAGGGCCCAGGGTCGGGCCCAGCAATCTCTGCTGACCACTGCAGGCAGCGCAAAGATCACTCCTCCGCCTTATTGTGTGTGCAGCAGCTTCCCCCCAGCAGTAAATCTCTGTGGCTAAAAACCACTCTGGGAGAGGGCTCTTATTGCAGTGAAAGAGCAGGGCAGGGCGCAGCAGAGACCAAGGCATTTCCCGTCCTGATGGGCGGAGAGGGTCGTCCCATTAAGTCAGCCATTTAGGGGACATGGCAGTGCAAACAGGACAATTTACCCTGGGATAAGTTTAACCCTGGCAAGATTTTTGGTGGTGCATTTATTTATATCCACTCCTGTACAGCAGCAGGATTAAAAGCTCATTTCTGCGCTCCAGCTGCAGCCAGGATGAGACGTGTTGTGATCACTCCATGCAGAACAAGTACCAACAAAAGCAGTGAAATGAAAACCCAGCAGCAGCGTAAGCTGATGTCTTCAAGCAGGGACCTGGCTGGAGGTCAAGCTTGAGCTACGCCGTAACTTCTGGGAGTCTCCTGACCATGCCCCCACCGAGCAGTGCCAAGCACCTCCAGCTCTGTGGGGCATTAGTGGAAACTGTGGTAGCTGCCTGGAAAAGCCCTTCACAGGCCTCCCAGATGAGTGGATTTTCTGTTTAGAAGCGTTTCAAGCTCCACGGGTTTCTGCTTCCCTCCTGGCAAAGAGGGGCAGGAGCTCTGCTGGGTCTGCAAGATGATTTACACCCTTCTGCAAGATCCTTCAATTACAGAGGACTAAGTGTTATTTAATTTGTGACTGCGGCTTGAATAAGGCTCAATTAAATTCTGCCTCTTGTGAATTTGCGATGGGGAATTCTCACCTGTGATGCCAGATGAGTCCTAACTGTACCATGCCTGACTCAGACACGCAAACTGCTCTATTCATGAGTGTTTTAATAAACGCCCTATCTTTAAACTGACAGCTTCCTGCTGTGTGACAAGCTTGGCACGGCGTCAAACCAAACCTTGGTCCCGTGGTCAGCCCGTGCTGGGGATGAGGGTGAATTCTGCAGAGCATCTTGGAGGCTGCAGCGCTGCCTCTGACACGGACACAAGCACCGGTACAAGGCACTGACATAGGCAAAGGCACTGACACCGGCACCAGCCAGGGCTCCCTCCCTCCGCTCCCGGCTCCGGAGCCCGGCTGCCCCCAGGGCTCCCCGGCTGCGGCCCGGCCCTTCCCGCGGGGTTCATCCGGGTGCGCCCTTGTCCCGGTGCGGCCCCGCGGTGAATCCGCTCCCTGCCCTTCCCCCGGGACCCGCTCCGGTTCTCACCCCCCCTCCAGCCCCTCCACGGGACCCCGCGCTCCGGTAGGCGGTGCCCTCCTTCCCCGCCGACCCCGCCCTCCCGTCGCCGCCTCCCATTGGCCCCGTGGCCGGCGGCGGGCGGGCCGCTTTGTGACGTCACGATCAGCTGTCGGAAGGTCCCGATTTGTGCGGGGGAGCGGCGGGCGCTCGGCAGAACCGCGCCATCGGCACCGGCACCGGCACCAGCTCCGCGCCTCCGCCGCTCCCCTCCCCTCCCCGCCGCGGTGCCGCCACGGCCACGGTGAGTCTGCAGCGACCGAGGCTCGGGGGGGGGGGGAGCGGCGGCGGGCGGGGCTCGGGCTGAACGGGACCGCTCCGACACGGCGCGTCCCGCGGGGGGGGGGGGGGGAGAAAGGCATCGGGGTCGTTGTCCCGTTCTCCCCCGCATCCCCCCCCCCCGCGCCCGTTGTTTGTTTCTTCATCACCGGATTAAGATTCGAGGTTGGTCTCCGCTCCCATTGGCTCCGCTAGGGTGACGTATGCCTTATTTGCATATGACATTGAGACGTCATAAGGCTGCCCCCCCCCCGCCTCTCCCCCGCGTTCCGGGCGCTCTTGTCCCGCCGTGACCCCGGTTTGGGACGGGCGTGGGGGTTAGCGGCGACGTGGCTTTCCTCCACCACCTTCCTCGGGGTTTGTGTCCCTTCCCCTCCCGGTGTCCGTTCTACCGCCTCCCCTCCCGGTGTCCGTTCTACCGCCTCCCCTCCCGGTGTCCGTTCTACCGCCTCCCCTCCCGGTGTCCGTTCTACCGCCTCCCCTCCCGGTGTCCGTTCTACCGCCTCCCCTCCCGGTGTCCGTTCTACCGCCTCCCCTCCCGGTGTCCGTTCTACCGCCTCCCCGGTGTCCGTTCTACCCCCTCCCCTCCCGGTGTCCGTTCTACCCCCTCCCCTCCCGGTGTCCGTTCTACCCCCTCCCCTCCCGGTGTCCGTTCTACCCCCTCCCCTCCCGGTGTCCGTTCTACCCCCTCCCATCCCGGTGTCCGTTCTACCCCCTCCCCTCCCGGTGTCCGTTCTACCGCCTCCCCTCCCGGTGTCCGTTCTACCCCCTCCCATCCCGGTGTCCGTTCTACCCCCTCCCATCCCGGTGTCCGTTCTACCCCCTCCCATCCCTGTGTCACGTCCCCGCGCCGTGTCCCGCAGCTGCTCGGCCGGTATCGCCCCGTGAGTCTCGGCTGGAGCTTTCCCCGGGGAGCTGCAAATGTGTGCACTCTCCCTGTGCCTATTCGGGGCTGTTCCGGCAAAAAACGGGGCTTCTTGAACAGGGAATGTGTGATACCGAATGTAGGAATCCCTGCAGTTGTGTCGTCCATTTACCTCCATCTTCCCATCCCAATTCCCCCTGTGAATCCCATGCCACACGTGCTGGTGCAGCACTGTGCCCTGGGGTGCCGAATACATCGGGTCCCACCCGGAGCAGCTGCTGCTGCTCCTATTCTAAGTGCACCTGCTTTGGGACAGCTCAAAAACGTTGGGAATCCTAAAAGCTCAACTTCCTGCTGGATTTCGTGCCTCTCGCCTTAGGAACTCAGTGGCTTGGCTGAGCCTCAAGGGCCCTGGGCGCTAAACCTGCTCTGGGCTGGTCAGCTCAGAAACTTGTGATCTGTGGAGTGTAACTGGAGAAACAGGCTAAAAAGGGCGCTATTGGTTTTGTAATGTTTTTATACCTTTATCTTTATGTCATGAGTGTTCAGGGGAGCTACAGCCCTGCCCAGAGAGCCTGAGCAAAGGTGCTGGCACCCAAAATCCTGGCTGAAATTCCCAGTCTTGGGACCAGCAATGCTGACAGTGGCACCCATGAGGGCTGGGTGCCAAGGGGCTGTTACTGATTTGGCCAAGGCTTTGCTGGGATAGAAAACCATCCCACAAACAGGTGCTGGGCCCCAGTACAGGACCATGCTGTACCTTCTTTCCCACTGGGCTCAGTCTGCAAAGTGCCAAGGACAATTCTTCTTGCTCTAAAATAAATCTTTCCTTTTATATTCCCACTCCCTTCTCCAAAGAAAATATCCAAACCAAAAGACAAAGGCTTTGTTCTGTAGCTCGCTGTCACCATTAGGAACCCGTTGTATCAAATTGGTGCTTATCTGGCTGAACACAAAAGGGAAAACATAATGGAATATACGAGGACAAACTGATAACACCTGCTCGTAGCAGGACTGGAAAAACCTGAGATGTGAATTCTTATCCAAGAGCTTTTTAGCATGAGCTGCGCCATGAGCCCTGCACAGGCAAGTCTCACCCCAGTGTACACGTGGCCCTGGGCAGGCTCAGGAGGAACTGGTGAGGAGCTCAGGGTTCCTGCAGGATCAAAGTCCAACTTGGCAGTTGGCATTCAGCCTTCTGTGACCTATGGAGGGTGTGATGTTGGGGCTGCTCCCCTCTCGATGCACATGGCCCTAGGGATGTTTCACCTGCAGCATCCCAGAGAGGAGACTCCTAAAATCTCATAGGGCAGCTCATAAAAATGTCCTGGTTGCTCAGATCCTGCAGCCACTGCCGGATTTTCCAGGGTTCTGTGTGACGACATCAAGTAGCAGGAGGTTGGGTTTGTCCTTGGGGCAAGGACCTTCCTGCAGTGGTTACACAGGGGAGCTGGTGCATGTGAGGACAGCAGCACCAGGAAAAGACCCCCTATGTCCTTCTCCTTAAGGTGGGAGCACATGGGGACTCCAGTCCACACTGAGCTGCTGGACTCAGCCAAGGCAAGCGCTTCAGGTGCTGGCTTTATCTGCTATTGATGAGAAGAGCCTCGTGATAAAGATGTGTGTTTTTGGAGGGGGTTCTAACCGCTCTCTGCCTTCTCCCCCCTCCACTTCCCTGCTCTGTGGTGCCAGGGGCTCTGGCTGTGGATCAACCTCTGATTTGCTGGACTCAGTCTGTTCGTGCCAGCAGCAGCTTCCCCAGGGAGCCCTGTGAATGAGGTGAAGCAATGGGATCAGCAGGAGCTATAGTGCAGTTGTTGAGTAACCAAATGCATTAATCCAGCCTCGCTGAACTGTCCTGGGCAGGTCTCTGCCACCTCTGGTCCCTTCCTTGATGGAGATGGACACAGGGATGCTCCACTGGTTGTGTCTGGGTGATGAGCAGGCTGTGGAGCTGCCAGACCCCCTGCTCCTTTGCTCTGTGCCAGGTTTAGGATTCTGTGAGAGCAGCCTGTGAAACATTTGTCTAATTTAGGTAAAATGAGTTGAAAATGACATTTCCCAAGTGGGCTGGAGGAAGGCACCTGATTTCTACCTCCAACGCCTACCGGGATGACTGTGTTGCGGTATTCTTAGCCCTGCCGAGGAAGGACCCGCTCCTGCCACTTGTCAGCAGCATCCCTCCTGCCACCACGTATTTATGGAAAGTTTCAGGGAGCCTGTTGCCATTTCCAAGCGGAGCTGCTGTTGTCCTTGCAGCCGGTGACTTTTGGGAGCTGCCAGTCCTGCAAGGCTGTGGCTCCTGCCCCGGCAAGCTCCTGGCACATCCTGCCCAGCCTTTCACCTATTCTTAGCTCCTGGGGTTATTTGTAGTGATGGTGACTCAGAAAACTAATTATTGTGTCAAGGTTTCTGAAGGGGGGAGAAAATAACTCGATGCATTCTGGTCTCCTTACTCCTAATATTTAATACCCTGGAGCTGGTTTTAAAAGGCTGTTGGGCTTTCTGGAGGGATCCCGAGAAACTTAAGTAAGAAACTGCTCTGTCCTCAAGTCAAGTGTAACCTCTTGGGGTGTCCCCTTGTGCTGGCAGTAGCCTGAGAGGGGGCCACTTCTCCAGCTTAACAAGGTCCCTCCGGGTGGCACCTGCCTGCTGCACCACTCCTCTTGGTGTCCTTCACAAGCTTGCACCTTGGCAATAAAGAGCCTGATCCTGCCCCTTTAACCCAGCGCTGCCGAGGATTCCAGAGCAGACAGGATAAAGGTGAGGACTAAAGCCCATTTTGGTCCTTGCTTGCCAGGACCAGGCTCCTGCCTCCACCTGCAGGTTTGATCCTGAAGGCTTTGCCCAAGCTCTGCCGGAGCCAGCCCTGGCAGAGCTGCTCCAGCTCCTGGGAATCCTTTGCTCTCCCCACAAGGCTGTCTGCTGGCGCTGGCTGTCCCTCTGCCTGGCTCCTGCTCTGCCCAGGACAGAGCCAAGCAAGGCACAGTGTGGCCAAGCAGCCCTGGCAGCTATTCCATGAGGATCAGGGTTCAGCACCCTGGGTTTGCCAGCCCTGGCCACGCTGCCACCAAGCCATGGTTGCTCTCACAGCAAACCGCCCCCCCCAAGGTCCTGTGTAGGATCACAGTGTCCATTAGGCAGTGGGAGCTTATGGGGTGAGGCAGGCTTGCTTCATCCAAGGGGATGATCCTGCAAGATCTGCCCTGTCCACCTAGCCTGGTGGAGCATGGACCCCAGTGCCCACATTCCCTGGCATGGAGAGGGGAATCACTGGTGGCTTATTTAAACTCTTTGGGGAATGATCCTTTAAAAGGATCCATCTCAACTTTGGCTCCTGGGGGAGCTTTAAGCTCATTCCTGCTGTCCCTGGAGCTATGACAGCTTCCTGGGAGCCCCCTTCCCTTCTCCTGCATGCTGTGGGTTTGCTCTGCAGCCCATTACTGTGAGGGGAGTGTGGTTATCCTAGACCTTTTAATTACAGAAATAAGGAGAATGAAGTTAAATACGGGAGATAGGACAATTGAAACTAACAGCATCTGCTGTGTCGTGTGTCTTCAGGAAAGCTGTCTGCAGGTTAGGGTGGGCACCTGTGGGGCCCAGACACTTCAGCTCCAGACATTCCTATTGCTGCACCCTGTGATTGTTGGGGGGGGGACTAAGTCTCTAAGTAGATAGGTCCTGGGGGAACTGGTGCTGCGCCTGAGGGGAGCAGAAGGGGAGGACAGATACCAGCTTTGCTCCTGTGCACTGAAAGCCTTTGTCACGTTTTAACGAAGTAAAGACGAGAGGGTTTGTGCTCTCCATTCTGTGTGATCTCTCTCCTGGCTTTGAACTCGCTCCTGGATGAGCTCCTTGCTGGGGGCTGGCCAAGCGGAGCGGAGGAGAGCGCTCGGGTACCATCCGGGCAGGGCGCTTCAGCAGGGCTGAGCCAGCAGAACGGCAGCGAGCTCGTCCAGGGGGAAAATCCCCATCTAGTTCAGACCTCAGCCTGGGGTGGCTGCTTGGGTGCTCCCCTGGGTGACCCTCCCCTGGCAGCCAGGCTGGAGCCACAGCCTCCCTCTGTCCCCTGTGTGCCAGCACAGGATGCCGTGCTATCCCCAGCCCTCTTCACCCTGGTGTGTCACCCTGCGGAGCTGCTCGGTGACACTGAGCCTTGGAATGCTGCAGGCAGAGCTGCTCCGGCTTGGAAAACACACGAACCTGCTCCTGGCTTTGCACAGGGACAGGACCACGGTGGCCCTGGGGGACGGGAGCTCCCCTGTGCCTGCTATGGGCTGCTGGGTGCTTCCTGACCCGGGGACACCACCAGCAGGTACCTGGAGCAATGGGGTTTCTGCCACAATTAGATACTTAATAAATGCATTAATATAATATTACAAGACAGCTACTTAATAGGCAACTGCTGCAGTCAGAGAGAACTGGGGTGTAATGGAGCCTTCAGGGCTGCCCTGGGTGCTCTTTCCCAGCCTGGCCCTGGGGAGGATGGATGCACGCATGGATCCCATGGGAGGGAAATCCCTGCTGTGCTCAGCACAGAGTACACCAGAGAGCCCAATGGGCCAGTTTTCGTTTGTTGCCCAGCTGGATGTCAGCCCCTCTTCATGTTGTTTCCCTGTCTTGTATTAGTGTGCTTTAATGCTCCAGGAAAGGGGAGGTCTGGATAGTTTAATCCTCGGGTGTGCTGGAGGATAACAGAAAGGCCATGGCTTTGCTACAGACGTGGTGGTGATGGGGACCGGGAGGTGAGAGCTGCCTTAGCTGAGCCTGCTGCTCTCGTTGCAGGCAGAGGAAATGACTCTGTCACATCTCAGTGCCCCAGAACCCTCTGCTTGGTGCTTCCAGGGGAAGCCAGGAACCTTCACAGGACACAGAGCAGGGAACCCTCATTGTGGTGAGGGCTCTGTGAGTCGCAGCCAAGTCTGTTTTGAACGCAGCATCCCAGCAGGACCCAGCTTGGATCTGGGTGCAGGGTGTGAGGAGTGGAAGGATGAACCATGGCAGTGGGGGGCTGCTGTCCTGCAGGGAGTGGGGACCCTGGATCACTGAGCACTGGGATCTGGAGCCATGGCTGTAGCCATGTTGTCTGCCCTGCACCTCCCTGCACCCTTCCTATTCTGTGTTGCCCAGAGCAGCTGGAGCTTCACCAGGGTCCAGGGCCTCTTGCAGGCTCTACATCACCTTGGTTGACAGAGCTATGACAGGGGTTTTGCCCTCTGAATGCACCCAAGGCAGTGTGCCAGGCAAGGCAGCACACAGCTCTGCCCTCCCCCTGCATCTGGCTCTTGATGGCATTTCAATGCCCTTTAATGTCTCTGGACCAAAAAGCATTTTCTCTGCACAAATAACGCGCTGCGCCGTGTGCCTGCTGCCTGCCTGTGCCACACTGAGAGCTCTACAGTGACTCCAACCCTCCCCCTGAGCTGGGCAGGGATGTTTCCCCAGGGATAAACAGTGATGTGTTTGGCTCTGCCCCTGCCCAGCTCCAGCAGACAGGTCCCCTGGGACACACTGCTCATGGGGAAGGGGATGGAATGCAGGGCTCAGTGTGGGGAGCAGGCACCCAGCCCTTCAGCCATCCCCTGCAGCCCATCTGGGATGCAGGACAGCCGTGCTGCCAACCGCTCCACGTGCATTATTCCTTTCCCTTTCCCTTTTACAGGCCTTTGCACTAAAGGCAAGTGAAGAACCTCAGAACTGCACTGCACACCATTTAACTCAGCTCCGAGCTCCCTAGCAGCAGAGTATCTCCATCACCACTGAGACCTCGAGTGCTTGGTTTTACCCCTCGCTGCCCCCCGCTCCCATTTCCACGTCTGAAAGGCAGTGCTCAGCAGGACCCTAACTCGCCATCCATCCTACAGGACCTCTCCCCACCATGTTTCAGCGTCTCACCAGCCTCTTCTTCAGTGACAGCAGCACTCCAGAAGGCCTTGAGGAGCCCAAACCCTTTGTTGAGGAGGAGGAGGAGGAGGATGGCTGGCTCATAATTGACCTTGCAGGTGAGGAAAGCAGCGGGGACTGACTTCCCACAGCCTCTGCTGCACCGTGGCTCTCTGGAGCTGGGAAAACCTTTGGAGATGACAGCAAAGGAGCTTCCACCATGTGTGCTCGGCTCTGTTCATCCCTCTTCCCGTGGTCGCCCAGCCCTGTGGTTGCTGTAGCAGCTCCTGGCCTGTTGCTGTGGGCAGCACTTTGCCATGAGGAGCTGGGCTTGGCCTCTCCTCGCAACGCCCATGTCAAAACCAAACTGGGAGCTTGTTCCCAGAGGAAAACCCTGGTCCCGGGGTGCTGGTGGGGACCATGGGGCTCCAGCTGGGGATGTGCTGCAGCAATCTGGCCACGTTTGGGTTATTGAGTGCATTGGGGGAGCAAATCTCTGCTCCAGAGGGCTTATCTTCCCAAATCATTCCCAGCACCCATTCCGGCAGCACTCAGACAAGGGATGTTTGGCACAAAGTCTCAGGGGCTCCCTGTTCCCAGGGATGGCAGCAACCACCCTGAGTCCCCTTTGACACCAACCAAGCAGATCAAATTCCTTGTGTGCAGAGCTTCTCCAGCTCTATTAAGACCTTGGCATTTCTATTGTAGGGTTGATGACTCAACCGAGTGCAGTGATGATTTTATGACCTTTTGCTTGCAGATCGAGCAGCAAACTCTGACAAACAAGCCTGCCTGTGCAGGAGATCCTCAATGCTTTTGCAGCCTCTGGTTGGTTGTGGTGCCCCAGCCAAGGGGACCACAAATGCATCCTGCAGGTTTAGGAGAAGGGTTTTGTCCTCCCTCTTGCAGGCGTTTGTTCACCCATCAGATGCTCCTGTCCCCTGTTCACCGAGCAGAGCTGGTTTTCATGATACAAGTCATTTGTTAGGGTTTTCCCCATGCAGTGAGAAGGAGAGGGGACCGGAGCATGGGCAAGCTTAGGATGGGGGACAGGGACAGCCCCGTGTCTGCTGGGAGCACTGTGGATGGCTGATGGAGGTGGATGGGTGGTGTGGGCGCAGGCAGCCACCGAGGATTCCCTGTCCTCTGGGCTGCCCTGGGGGGGTCACAGCAGTGACACAGGAGGAGGAGGGTTGGAAGGAGGTCCCTGGAACCACTCGCATGCAGCTGCCTCCTGCCTGGGCCAGCTGGCAACGGCTGCAGCGTGCCCAAAGCGCGCCAGAAGGAGCCAGGAGTTTCCGCAGACAGAGAAAGCGGGGCTGTGCCCTGATCCCCTGGGTCCCAGACTGCAGCCAGCCCAGCAGGGACACAGGGATGGCTCTGGGACAAAAGGCTCCCGTCTCTTTCCCACCCAAGCCGCCACGCTCTCGGTGCAGAGCTGCCTTGCAGCAGTGTGACTGCCTGGGGCATGCCACCCCACTGCTAATCCCCACCAGCCCTGCCGCTGCCTTTTCCCCTCAGCATTCCCTGGCTGGTGAAGGAATTATTTATTTCAGCCCCGTTTCTGAGGCTGGAGTTACGCAAAGCACTTTACAAAACAAACCCGCTGGCTCCATCCTTCACCTTTGAGCCACAGCAGCTGACAAGCATCTCAGTCTGCCTCTCTCCCAGCCTGATGGGCCTCCAACCTCATTCCCACTCAGCCAGGTCTTTGACCCATGTGTTGCAAAATGCACCTGAATTAACCAGAGATCCCAGGAGTATTTTGGATGCTCCTCTTGTCCCATCACCCAGCCTGGTTCTACTCAGCAGCCAGGGACAGAGCAAAGACCATTGCCCGGTGCTTAGAAGTAAGGCTGCAAGTAACCCAGGGATTTTGGGATCCCAAAATATTCCTTGTGACATTGAAACCTGCCTTGGCAAAGGATGGGGATGGGTTGCCAGGGATGGTGGGGCAGGGTTCAGCCGAGCTGGGTCCCCCGCTCCTCTGTTGCAGGACCAGGAATGCTCCAGCTGGGCTCGGTGGCTGTCTCCAGGCTGACAAATAATCTCCAGCCCGACATGCCAACAACTATTAATAGCTTGATATCCACTGACCTGAGGAAAGATGCTCTCGTGTTCGCAAGGCTAATTGTGGCCTGCCCTAAGCCCCGGGCTGGAGCATCGTCTGCCGGAGGAGCCGGGGACATGTGGGAGGGGAATGCCAGCCCCGTGCTTCGTGCACTCTATTTCTCCACCATAAGAACACATTCATTGCCCAGAGAAGCTGTGGCTGCCCCATCCCTGTCAGGTTGGACGGGGCTCGGAGCAAGCTGCTCTAGTGGAAGGTGTCCATGCCCATGGCAGGGGTTGGAACTGGATGAGCTTTAAGGTTCTTTCCAAACCAAACCATTCTGTGATCCCGTGATTGACCTCTGATTTGTCATAGAATCCTAGAATAGTTCGGGTTGGAAAGGACCTTACCATCCTCCAGTTCCAACCCCCCTGCCATGGGCAGGGACACCTCACACTAAACCCTGCCACCAAGGCTCTGTCCAACCCGGCCTTGAGCACCCCCAGGGATGGAGCATTCACAGCATCCCTGGGCAACCCATTCCAGTGCCTCACCACCCTTACTGTAAAGAATTTCCTCCTTAGATCCAATCTAAACTTCCCCTGTTTAAGTTTGAACCCGTTACCCCTTGTCCTATCACTACAGTCCCTAATGAAGAGTCCCTCCCTAGCAGCCCTAGAGCCCCCCTTCAGATTCTGGAAGCTGCTCTGAGGTCTCGATGCAGCCTTCACGTCTCCAGCCTGAACAGCCCCAACTTTCTCAGCCTGTCTTCATACAGGAGGTGCTCCAGTCCCCTGTTCACCCTCATGGCCTCCTCTGGACTTGTCTCAACAGTTCCATGTCCTGCACCCTCACCTAACTGCGGGGTCATGTGTCCATAGATATACTACACTGTGTCCCCCCTGCTCCCTGAGACCATGTTCCTTGACATCCCCTGTTGAGGCTGGGAGCAGCTCTGGATACCCTCATGAGCCCAACGTTAGGTGCAGGCTCCCCAACCAGCGACTCCAAGCACAGGCAGCCCAGAAAGGCACCAGCCCAAGTGCTTTTGCCAGGCGGAGGTGAGGAAGGGAAGGCAAAGGGAAGCTGGGGCAGCTCTTGGATCAACCACTCCAACTTTGGCCTCTAATGGACTGAAGCTGAAGGTGTGGTGGGAACCTTTGCTGAAGAATGTATTCCCGTTTCCTTCCAGAAGAAAAGCTGTGAGCTGTTTTTTCCTCTGTGTGTGCTTGGTTTCCATGTCTGCAAAGTGCTGGGAGGTGTTTGTGAGTGCAGGCAGGCCGCCGTTCCTCCTGGGTGGCACAGCCTGGTCCCAGGGCTGTAAGAACGGGCTAAAGCAGTGTTTCTGCTGGCTGAATTTCTCCTTCACTTTGAGAAGGGGTAAAATGAAATCGCTGCAGTGAAACCCTGCTGCTTTCCCCCTGGTTTTGGTTAAACTGCCTAAACAGGACCGTTTCACCAAGAAATCTGGAGGGGGACTTTTCCCAAGGACCAGGGATGAAGACTTCAAGGTGAAAGAGGGGAGTTTTAGATTGGATTTTAGGAAGAAATTCTTCCATGGCACAGGGTGCCCAGAGAAGCTGTGGCTGCCCCATCCCTGGCAGTGTTCAAGGCCAGGTTGGATGGAGCTTGGAGCAAGCTGCTCCAGTGGAAGCTGTCCCTGCCCGTGGCAGGGGTTGGAGCTGGAGGAGCTTTAAGGTCCCTTCCAACCCAAACCAGTCTGTGTCTGATTTTCTCTGATTCAATGATTTCCATTTCTTAGCAAAGCCGCATCCCACAGCACCAGCAGCCGCCCCAGTGCAGAGGGTGCCGACTGGGGTGCAGTGGGGGCACTGCTGGTGTCTCCCTCCCCGTGAGGCCCCGTTGACACCGAGCCGGTCCGTAGCGGTGGTGATGGCGGTGCGGTGTCTCTTGCACTAACGATGCCCCTTTCTCTCCCCCCTCCCCTCCCCTCCCCTCCCTCCCTCCCCACTGTACATGGTATGTGTGTGTGTCCCCGCTGTGCCCCGCATGGCTCTGCACCCCCGCCACCCCCAGGCAGCCGTGCCCGCCCCGGCGCAGCCCGGCGAGTGGGTGCTGGCGGCACCGGGCGCTCGGCGCGGTCCCGCCCGGCTCCCCCCGGTCCGTCACCACCTCCGGCCGCTGCCCCGGCTCCCCCCGGTCCCTGCTTGATGGACGAGAGTTGGTTTGTCACCCCTCCCCCCTGTTTTACTGCAGAGGGGCCCGGCCCCGACGGCGTGGGGAGCAGCCCCATGGAGGACCTGCTCATCGAGCACCCCAGCATGTCTGTCTATGTCACCAGCACCCTCGAGGTGGACGGGGAGGGCCCTGAGGATGATGCTGCTGAGTGAGTATAGCTTGAGGGTGCTCACCTGGCACCAGGGACCGGGGTGGACGGTTCGTCCTGGCATCCCACATTGCTGTGTATGATCGGGGGTGCTCTGGCCACAGATGGAGTGGGGCTGTGGGGGTCCTCAGTGTCCTCACATCCCACCTCAGGGAGCACCCTGCATGCCTGTCAGGGTGCCTCTGTGCAAGGATGGCAGCCTCTGTGTCCTGAAGTACCCAGCTAAGGGGGTCTCAATGCCGTGGTGAGGTGGCTGTGGGTGCTGGATCATGAGCTCATCACTGTGCTGCAGTGGAGAGGGGCTGCGTTCCCCTCCACTGCCCCAAGCAGGGTCTCCTGGGACGGCCGCCTGTGCTGATGCTTCCTTGGCCACGCTGCTGTCAGTGGTTGCGGGGTCCCACTGTGCCGTGGGGTCCCCACAGCCCCCCAGACCTCCAGCATCTCCCCCAGAATCCCCTCACTGGGGCAGAGGAGGAGGGATAATTCGGGGTGAACCTCCCTCAGGCCTGGGGACACCTTTCCTCCAGAGCTTCTCTCTTTGCACAGTCTCCCTGAGGGCCACGGCTTGATCCCAAGAGCTCCTGAGTATCCTCAATGCGGGAGGGTGCAGAAACGGGGGTAGAAAAGGGCTGGGAGACCCAAAGGGGTTACAAACGGGATGGAAACGGGCACTTAGGAATTGTTGGGCTTAGAGGAATTGGCCAGTGTGAGGAGAGTGGGGATGGATGCCCCCATTCCTGCTGGTGTCTGGATTTATCCCGGCCATCCTGGCTGGGGCAGGAGGTGGTGTGGTCCTTCCTGGGGGGATGATGGGGAAAGGGTTGGAGCATCACTGCCGGGGTTCCATTGACCGCCCCTTTCCCCGCAGGGAGGTGCCGGAGCCGCGGCTGGAGCGGCACGTTCCGCACCACAGCCGGTCCCTCTCGGTGAAAGCTGCCATCCTGGAGAAGGTGGGTCAGGCGCGGCGGGTGCAGCGCGCCCAGCAGCTGGCCGACAAGCACCGGCTGAGCCAGAAGGCGCTGCAGCGGCAGAACCGCGCCTGCCAGCGCCCGCTGCGCCGCGCCAAGCAGCACATCGGCACCTTCGTCCACCAGCCCTGCCAGCGCCACTGCAACTACTGACCTCGCCGGGACGCCCGGCACCGGCACCGTGGTGCAGCCGGGCTGCGGTTCCACTCCACGCCCTCCTCACACACATCCCTCTGCACACCCGGGCCTCCACTCAGCATCTTCCTCATCCTCATCCCCGCGCCCTTCACCCGCAGCGCCGCAGCTCCAGCATGGAGGGCCGGGTTGTCCGCTCCACCTCGCAGCCGTGCCAGCCTTTACATGGGAATTGGGTATTCCTGGTGAGATCCCCCGCGTCGAAGCCTGTTTGTCCTGATGAGCCTGTGACATCAGTGCCTTTCTTCCGGACGCCATGACTCCACGTGTAGCCAGACTAGGATGTCACAAGCAGAGACCCCGTGAAAAGAGCAATGAAGCAACAAGATTTGGGATTTTTTAGGAAAATCTCACCCATGACACTAAATAATGCTTCCTTCCCCCTGAAACCAGCAAGTACCCCCCTCCCTCCTCCGTTTCTTACCTACGCTTTTACAGTGGTAAGACCCCACTGCTGGCCCTTGCCACGGGGAAGCGCTGGTGGAAGCCTTGGCAGGGTCATTGGGCAGCTCGTGGTGCCTCATGGTGTTTTTTAAAGACAACCTTAAAGCAATCTCAGGAACCAAAGCACCGTCCCAGCGCCTCGCCGGAGCCCTCGGCCACCGCGCTGCGGGGCCGGCATCCAGCCCAGGGCCAGTGGTAGCATCACTGTGGCTGGTGGTCCTGCCGAGCTGCTGGGTGCCTCGTCCTGGCGAGTCCCCTCCTCCTGGAGCCGCTCATCTGCCCAAATCACAGCTATAAACACACATTCAAGGGTATGGATGTGTTTCCCTGTGTACCTTTATCCTTGGAAGAGGAATAAGCCAAGGAGCATCGGCTGCTCAGTCCCTGGGAGGGGATCAAGGCAGGGACCTGTGCAGCTTCCCCAGGGTGGCAAAAGCACGTCAAAGCTGGTGGTGAAGGGATGATGAAGAGGAGGCCCGAGGGAAGAGGCTGAAGTAAGGGTGAATGTGGACCTGGGAGCAGCTGCTAAGAGACAGGATGGGGCAGGCCCTGGCAGTGGGGCCGGGTGAGAGGGTTGCTGCAGTGGAGCTGCAATGAGAACGTCTTCCCTCCTGAATAAAAAGTGGATCCTTTCCCATGGGAAGGGACAAATTCCACTGTGAGCAGCACTGGTTTGGAATGGAAATCCCTCCCCTCCCCATGATGGATTCATTCTGCCCTTCAAATGACACGGTCCAGACTTTTCACTGGCTCCAGCACCAGCTGAGGTGGCTCCAAACCCAGCAGAAATTTGTTGTTTCCCCCCCAACTCCTTTCCTTTAGGGACTGGTTTGTACCCATGCACTGGGGAAGCTCTGGCCATCCGTCCTGCTCACAGCCAGCTCACAGCCTGGCTTCCCACCCTCTGAGACAAGAAATACCCCTCATCCCCTTTCCCCTGCCCCCAGAATGCTGATGTCACACGAGTTTCTGCCATTCACCATGTTATAGCCCTCAGTATCAGCTTTGGACCGAGGCTGAAGGGATCGTGGTGAGCCCAGCCTCAGACAGCTGATATTTATTCATTTTTGAATGAGATTAAAACTAAAATGAACCCTTTTAGGAGCATCAGCCCCAGCTCTGTACCTGGGAGCCTGGGCTGCGGCCACAGTCACCGGCCCTCGCCGTTGAGCCTAAGACCACGCTGGAGATCGCCCTGTCTCTGGTGTCTTCCAATCCGACTGATGACTCCTTGACTCAATGGGAACGTTTACACCCTTTGGCATCCTGGGCTTCACTTTAAAGGCCTTTCCCCGCCCTTGAATCGATGCCTGGTATGAAGTGGGAGCGTGGATGCTGGCACAGGTGCTTGTGAAGACCAGCAGGGGCTGAGCCCAGGCTCTCAGGATGAGGCGCTGCCTTCCCTGCTGCTGCTTCCCGCATCACTGGTGACACGCTCTGTGGCCATGGGGCAGCAGCGTTAGAGGAAGCATGGTTTCTTTAGCCCAAATGTACATCAGGAAGCGGACAAGCCAAGAGACGACCTGCCTGCCAGCCCGCTCTCCATCGCATCCGAGGTGCCGCCGGTCCCTCTGGAGTGCTGTCACCCCCTCTGCAGCTCCAGGGCTGGGGGGCAGCAAGGCTGCATCCTGCCAGGTCTGTCCTGCCAGGCCTTGCCATGCCCATCAGTCTGCTCACAAATGGTACCCCTAGAGAAGAACCCCCTCACGGAAACCTTCTCCTGCATCCTGCTCATCCATTGTGAGCCGGAGCCCCTTGGCTGTGCTCCCAGGGGCTCAATGCTGTCGTGGCCCCAGCACCCAGCACCCCTTTCAAATGGCTGATGCTGTTATTCCGTCCTGGTTTCCAGAAGCAAATGCAAACTGGTTTCTTCCCCTTTCTCCTTCCCATGCCAACCTGAGACATCTTCCATCACGCTGTGCCCAGCCAGCCCAGGACATGCAGCAGAACTAGGATCACACTTTATATCAAGAGTATGTTCATAAAGGATTAATAAATTATTAATAACGTTTTAATGAAGAGGTTAAGCCAGAGTCCTGGAGGTCAATGGAGTGCAATTACCACAGCATAGATTGGCTCCTGAGACCCCCCCTGTTGTTGGCACACGTGGTTGCGTATTAACATTCAGTAATCACCTATCAACCCCATGCCAAGGGACTGTCGACCCACCAGTGACCAACCCTTCCTGTGCTGTGGCAAAGGTGTGCTCATCCTGCACTCTGCAGATGCCCTGCAATGCTCCTCTCCTGCCCAACAGTGAGCACAAGACCTGGCCTGATACCAAATCTCCTGCCCAGTGTTACCAGACAAGAAAACCCCTTTACCCTGAGGTTGTGAGCTTCCTCAAATCTTAAAACAAACAAAAGGTGCTTGAAAACTGAGAACTTCTGTGTGTGCACACGTGTGCATGTGTGGATGCTTCACGACGCGGTGTGGGTGTTCAGAGGGCTGCTTTGGGGTGTGGGGTTTGGTGTTTTGGGGGTTTGTTGGGGTTTTTTTGCACCCAGTGTTTTCAGTTTGTGACTCGCTGTGTGATGCTCCCAATGGGAAGGCGAAGCAAACATGGTGCTGGCTGGCAGGGAAGCCCTTGGGCTGGTGTCCTGCTTGAACAGCTAGGATGAGTCTTGCTTTCTCTTCTTGACTTGCAGAGAGGGAAACTACAGCATGGACTCAGGGACAAACAAATGTGCTGGGGTCTATAATGATGTGGTCTTTATGGGTTCCTCTGTTTGGATGTGGGTTTGTTTCTGTCTGGGGGGCCTTTGGCTGTGTGGTCCTGAAGGATGCTGCAGGGATGCAGCTGAAGCCTTTGGCAGCGCTTGTTGGTGAGGGGCTGCTGTGTGCTGGGAGAGCCGCAGGGTTTGATGCTCTGGCATAGTGTCTGCGTGGAAAAGGAGCTGTGTCCCCTTGTGTCCATCCCTGAGCAGCAGCCCATGCCCCGAATATTCACCTTAAAGCTGCTGGAATGCGCCTGGTCCTTCCTTGGGCTCGTTTGTGGACAGCCACGTATGGATTTTAAGCAGTGAGGCCCTGAGGATTTGGGAAGTGAAGCGAAGCCGTGCTTTCTGCATCAGCTGCAGCTGGTCTGGCTCCACGGTGTCCCCGGGATCCGGGATGTGGGGCAGCATCTGAGCCATCACATGGGGGAATGCTGGTGCAGGTCACGGGCAGATCTGTGGGAGGAAATTTCTCTGTTTCTTGTAATGAAAGCATAGAGAAAAAGGAAGAATTCCCCAATGGGGAGACCTGGGTGAATCTGTCCTGGGCCTGGCAGCAGCTTCCCAGCCTTCTGCTGGCATCCCAGTGAGGAGCAGCATGGATGCGCAGGCCTGGGGACATTGGGACACTGCGGGCAGGCTGCGGCAGCACTGCCTGGAGCTTGTGAGGCAGCAGACCCCTGTGATGGAAAGATCCTTTCCACCACTTGGAGACCCCGTGGTGTAGGGGATCTTCTCCAAGCAGAGCACAAGGGATTTGGATCTCAGTGGTCTTCATCTGGCAGCCTGCCTCCATCCCAGTCCAACGGATGAACCCCTTGAAGCGAGTGTTGAGGCTGCCCCAGCCATCAAGATAGGACCAGGAGGAGCAGCTCTCCTGGGGAAGTTCGACCTCTCGAGATGAGCACCAAGCACGTCAGGACACGTCTGAACATCCACACCCTGCGTGACCCAGCTCCCAGCATGGGGCGGATGGGGACACCTCATGGGCAGCCACAGCAAAGTCCTTCCACCAAACTCTGCCTCTGCAAGGCCAGGGGCAGCGGGGCAGAAGTTCCTGTCACCCCTGAAGCTTGCACTCACAAATGCGCTTTCCAAAAGGCTCTGCTTAAAAGCTCCATGGGAAGGAAGCAAAAGGTTTTCCATGGGAGTCACCGTTCCTCCTCCATCGTGGATAACGGAAACACGTGGAGCATCCCAAAGCTCACCGCCGTGGGACTCTTCGCTCTTCCTTTAGCATGTTTCTAATCAAGAGATGATTTAAATTTACATCTTGCTGGTACCTTTTCCTCTTCCATCCAGCCCCACTGGGGAGAAAAAACCCACTGGGGATAAACCCCCCCATTCGTTGTCTTGTCGTACCAGTCAGAATGAAACAATAGATGAGAAAATACCCCAGTGAGGCTCTAGACTTGAACCGTGCACCTTCAAGTCTTCCCGTGGAGGATCAGCATCACTTCCAGTGCCCTGCATAAAGCAGAAATTACATTTCAGGTGAATTTATTGAAAGCCAACAAGTCCTCAAAGATTAACCCATGTAATAACTGGGAACCGAGCTGCAAAAAGCAATGGGACGCGTCAAGCCAAGAATGGTTCTCAGCATCTGCCTGCTGCTGCCTGCCAGAGGCAGCGCCGAGCCCTGCTCCCCTGTGCTGAGAAGGGGTGATCCGTGAGTCTTCCCTGAGCATCTGGGCTTAAAAGTTGATGCCACGGTGGCTCTGGCCACTGGGGACTGTCGATACCCACCGCACCTGCAGCACCTCCATGCCAGGAGACCAGCCAGGAACGTTAAAGGGCATTGAATAGGCTTGGTCGCCTCAGGGCTTGTCTTCAAGGAGCTTCCATCTCCTCCCATTTCTTGGACATCTGCTCCATACGATGTTGGTGTCATGAATTATTTCCCAGCATCCTGAAGGGCTCGGTCCTCACCCCACCAAGATGAGCAGCTCCAGTTGATAACAGGGATGGCTCTTAGCTGTCGTCCTGTATAAAGTTCTTATTCAGAGGCGATGCGGAGGTGTGTGTCCCCCTTACACTCACTTGGAGCTAATACCTCCAGGGCTGGCTTGAGGGTTGCTTTTCCAGCCCCATACCCACAGCGAGTGCAAAGCTCTGTTGAAGGGATGCTACCACATGCCCTGGTGCATGGAAACACTGTGTGAAGCTCTGGCTCTGTTACAGAGAACCCCGAAAATCCCTCTGCTTTCCCCCCTGCTCATGTTCCAGCACTTTTACGGGAGGAAGGTTTCATCCCTTGCAGCAGAGGGGGGAAAGCGGCACAGTACATTTCAAGTGTAGCTTAAAACCGGGTTGCGCAGGGGAGCCCAGGGTTCCTCCACTCTTTCGCGCTCACCCCATGCATTCACATCAGGGAAGCCGGGAGCACCCTGTGCCCCAGCCCCACTGAAATCGTATCCTCAGCTTTGTATCGACACAACTATGCCTCGGGAAGCGCAGGGGTGAGGGAACAGCGCGCGGTGTAACGGTGGCATAGTCGCGTTTTCTCTGGTCTCACAAGCGCACCTGTACAGAGCCACTGAGCACTGCAATATTTTAGCTGTATGTATGAACCCGAGGTGTTCTGCTTGTAACACTGCTCCGCGCGCCCCGTCCCTCCGTGCTGGACTGACTGTTCATGTGCCTTTCACCCTTCCGCATGGTTTGGCATCCTTTTTTTTACCGCAGCTGCAGGACTTGAATAAACCGGTGAACTGCAGTTAAAAGCCCTATGCAAGAGCTGAGTGGGGAGGCAGTTTTCGGTATCCCTGTGTTTCTACGTTGTTTTTAAAGCAGACGCTGGGCTCGCCGGAGAAGCCGGACAGAATGAATGCCCTGGAAAGCACTGAGCTTCTGTTGTTGTTTTAGCTAAAAAGCATTTCAGATGCTAAATCTCTTAGGCGGCTTTGGAAAGCTCAGCCTAAACCCCAGTTCCCCAGTGGTTTGTGCATGGAGAGTGAGCAGCACGAGCACCAGCACTTGACCAGGAGAGAGCGTGTTCAATGGCCGGTGCTTCCTTCCAAGAGAAAGGAGAAGAAAGTGCTATTTGGTGAGAAAAGAAGGTGCTATTTGGTCGGAAAAGGTTGCCTTAAGCCTTCCCTAACATGCATTGGAGAATGTGATCGCCCCCGGCCGCAGCCCTGTATGGGGTTGACCCTGTTGGGGTGCTGCAGAGCACCCACACCACCAAGCAGATGCCCACGCAGCAGTTCTGTATCAGCCGTGCTCTGCTGAATGCCTTACAACAGTGGGACAACTTCCACACCGGGATGTTGAGAAGAGGAACCAGAAGCCCCCTGTTTTTCTACATCACCTCTGCTGCAGGACCGAAACCTCGTCCGAAACTCGAAGCTAACAAAACCTGTCCTTTTCTGTGTGTGTTACATGTCCAATCGGTGTAAGCAAGGTCGGTAGAGAAAGGTGTCTACTCCTCGTAGGACATTGTTTAAACATTTGCTGTGTGTCAACAGACTGAAGGACACGACTGCCTGGAATACGTTATGTAGTGTGCCTGTGTGTATGTAACCTGGTTCTGGTTGTTAGGTTGTGATGCTGTCTTTTGACTGAAAAAAAAATCTAATATAAAGAAAAAAACCACGAGAAATAAAAAAAAATTATATATATATTTAAACTATTTTGTGTGGATTTCTCTAAGGACCTGTTTGCAAAATGCTTTGGTTTTTAAAGCAAGCTTTTAATGCTGTGACTATCAGACAAGCCAGTAGGAAAAAAGCCCCTTTTGACAGCAAGGGGAGGGGATCAAACAGAGTCTTTGAGGGGATTTTTTCCCCCCTCCCCATTACCAAACCCTGAAGCTCAGCAGACGATTGCAAGAGCTAAAGCAGGTGCTGATGGCCCTGAGCAAGGTGAGAGCCACCTCATGTACCAGTGTCTACAGCATCAGCAGCTCAACAGCTTGGAGCTGTTTCTCCAAGCACATAAACAACAGCCTGATACCACCCACATTGTAACTGAGAGGCAGAGAGATGCCCCTAAGGTGATTAAGGGCTTGGAGTGTCCCACAGATGAGGAGAGGGCTGGCGAAGGCTCAGGGGGATCCCATCCACGTGCTGGGGGTACACAGACTCTTCTCAGCCCAGGGGCTGGATGAGAGGCACAAAATGAAGTAAAAAAGAAGAGAAATTCTGCTTAAACATAAGAAAATGCTTTTTCACTGCAAGGGTGGTTGACCAGAGGAGCAGGCTGCCCAGTGAAGGGGAAGAGTCTCCATCCTTCTAAATACCCAAAATGAGAGCAGACACAGCCGTGGGCAACGTTCTGTCTTGCCACCCAGCCCCGGGCCACCTTGGTGACCCTCTACTGTGTCCCTTCTATGTTATCAACATCTTTATTGCGTGCATAGGGGGTGATGGTGCTGGGAAGCAGGTGATCATGTTCCAGATGCGATCTAACCAGTGCCAAGGGAAGGGGAACCATCACCTCCCGCAGTGCAGCAGCCCCATCCCTGCACCAAGCCAGAGGTAGCTCACTCACCTCGAGAGCTGCAGAGCTGCTCTCCGCCGGTCACTGCCAGTGGGCACAAGGGCAAGAGGCTGCAGCTCCTTCCAAGACTGCTTCCCAGGTGCAGGATCTTGCAGTTGTCCTTTCCCAAGGTCCGTGTCCCTGTAGTGACCCTGCCCTCAAGCCCATCTGCTTCCCCCATGTGGTGTTTGCCACAACCAAGAGTACATCCCCTCTCCTCCCCAGTTTACTGGTCCATGGACCTTGCCTGCAAAGGCGACTTTCCAGGTCTGTGGACTTCATCCCAGCTCCACAACTTCCCCACTGGCAATAGCACAGCACAGGGTGATCACCACGTTACCTGCACACTGGCTCCTCACGTTCCAGGCAGACTTGAGGCGAGGACATCAAAGAGCAAGAAGGGGGGACCCCTCTTGCCCCACCAAAACCTTCTGACAGGCATGGGATGATCCCACCTTGTCCTTAGCACAGATGTGGAATAAAACCATCTAAAGAGGAGGGTTAGCAAATGCAACGTGGAGGATGGAAGGAGTAAAATGGGCCATTTCAGAAACCACTTCCTACTGACTGTACTTACATGCGTGTGAGTGCATCCAGAACATATACATGCATATAAAATATATGCATGCATATAGAAATGTGTGTGCATGGATCCATAATCCTACACGTGCATATAAATGTGTATGTATGGATCTATAATCCTAAAGGATTAGATGCTTTTTGTGGAAACCAGCTTCATACTGCCCCTTGTAAAGCAAGAGAGGTGTAAACAGCTGGGGGAGAGCTGGGGATTCAGAGCATCCCACCAGCATCTATAACATTTCCCTTGCAAAAGACACAGAGCATCACTGCAACAGTGATGACCAGAGATGGGAGCCTCACTCAGTGTCTAGTAACTTGTGCACAAATGGGTAATTTCTTCCATGATAAAAGGTGAAGATTTACATTTAAGTACAACTTCATCAGCCTTTTTACATATCAATATGTTTCTACAACTGTGTAGGAGAAGGAAACAGGCCCAAGTGTCTGTTTGTGCACAAAGCATCGAGTAATCCGAAAGCACCAGCGAGAGCTCCCTGGCACAAGGGGCCTGACCTACTTCCCACAGCCCTGCGCACAAACCAGGCTCTGCTGGTTATCCACGTACCAGACTGCAGGCTCCTGCGTTCAACCCATTCCATCCAGCTTTTCCCTCTGCTGCATGCTCCTGCTGAGCAGCTTTACTCGCGGGGAGCGCGGTCTCCTGGGCCTCCTCACCCTGTATGTGCTCCCTGCGCAGAGCCCAAGGGCAGGAGCGTGGCCTGGGCTGTGTTTTCTTGCTTTGCAAGAACAGCTGCATCAGTTAATTCGTTTGTGGTTAAACAAACTCCTCTCTAAAGCTCCATATAAGGAGCTTGCAGGCCTCCAGCTCTAAATAATCCCTTCAATCTTCCTGTTTGGAATGATGCGGTTGTTGTTGCTAATAATAATTCAACCCAACTTATAGGACAATAACATTTATTTAGAGCATGAGGGATTCCACATTATACAAACCCTTACATTTATGTTGTTTTCTGTTTTGTTTCACTGGTCCATTTCTACAACAAATACATCAGATCTACTATATAATAAAATTATTTACATTTCCAAACATGATTGGGTTTGTTTCTAAACCCTCTTACTGCTATTCACATACAGTACTTAAACAACAGCACAATACATTATTTTTAATACCTAAAAATGACAACCCTGTATTCTAATTTATGAAAAGTGGAAACAAATAAATTTACAATTGTCTTCCCCTCCCCTTCCATTTCATACAAACACATTAACCTCATGTGCTAACCCTCGGCTTCACTTCGTAAGTCCAGGGGGTTTTAGGAGAACCCAGTTTTTATATCTATTTATCTGTTTTTTAGAAAAAAAAATCATTTTGGGGGAACAGGAGAATATTAAAAGGACTTTACTGTACAGAATTTTATTTAAAAAAAGAAAAATCACAGCTCAAAATCGCTATTGGTAAATTCACACTCATTTACAAGTTTCATGTTTCCATGCAGTAATTTACTTGGATTTTCTTCTTTTTGACTGCATTGCACTGGCACTCGTTTCTGAAATTAAGAGAAGAAAAGAAGCATGGATACGAAGTCGACAAGCCATTCACCAGAGGTGCACAGACTGCCCTGCCACCATCACACCAGAGTGCAAACCTCGGAGGAGCGGGATTCCCACAGACCCGGGACTGCCTCTTCACCAAGTCACAACACAAACACCAACGCTGGGACACAGCTCAGCCTTCCCCCAGCTCTGGCAGGGCACGACTTCCAAGCGTTAGGGCTTCAGCAATGCTGAGCTCGCAATGTATCAGCCTTAAGATCTGGGTGGTTTTGTATGTTTAAGTGTTCAATGTTAGTTCCCCACATGCACAGTGTGCTCAAGATGTGCCTCTGTGAAACGGGCACTGGGCACAAACTGCGGCAGCGGGAGCCAGCATCGTGGAGATGGTGCTATAAAAAACACTTAGGAAGGTCATCTGGAGCCTGCCACATGAATTACAAATGTAGTTGTTTGAGTCCTTGGGAAGTCAGATCATTAGAAAACGAGTCTCTTGAGTGTACATTATGATTCACAGAGAAGCAGCTATGCAGAAAGGTACAAAACACCGTGAGGAGCAGCGCTCGCAGAAGCTGCGGTGAAAGCAGATGACATGTTCAGTGCACTTACCAAGGCACTAACGTTTCCATTTCAAAACAAAACAGAGTAAGGACCAAAGGTGTTTGCATCTTTAGATCTTTCAAAAATGGGATTTTAAGCGTTGGCAATGTATCTTTGGCTCTTGACAGTATTTTCCAAAAGCTATTAGAGCTGTGTGTATTTTAAGAGTCAATAGGGAAAAGATTTCCAAGACACCCAAGACATCTAAAGCTAGAGGAGCGACAGTACAACTCCATGGCTGTTAAATGTTGTATTTAAAAACCAAAACGAAGCAACGTTATAAAATTCAACAAACTCGAAACTACAGTAAATGCCGCAACAGCCCTTGCTTGAAGTACTCCAAGAAGTGACAATGCCAACACAGCACCAGGTTTCAGAAGTGGAACACCTCAGCAGGCACGACTCCCACTTACCAGAGCTCCCTCTGAGCAGCAGCACTATGGAAGCAGCTCAGGCAGCAGCTGCTATAGCCAGCCCTGCTGCTGTGAGGTCCTTCTACAGTTACCCTTCTGCCTCCTCCTTCCTGATGCTTAGCAAAGGGATTCCTACACCAACTGGTCAAAGTTTACGTCTTTCTCTCTGCTACATTTCAGGTTTTTCCCTAACTGCCATTTCTACAGCGGCCTTAATCCACCCCTAACAGGAGCTTCTCCCTGCCCCACATTAACACAGACCAGTGAGAGTTTCTCAGGACACAGACACCTGCAGATGTCTAGAAGGAGCATACAAACCAAGCGTGCTTTCTAAAGCTCTGATTCGCTAACAAAAACCACAGACCAGAGTAGGCACAACTGGCAAACTTCCTTACACCAGCTCCCTCACTAACCAGCCTGTTCCCGTCCACAAGAGAGCCTTGCTTTGCTCGCTTTCTCTACCACCTGCAAGGAGTCATTGCTTGCATGAAGCAATGTAACCACAGCCCAGGGTACCACACTGTAAGCAGGATCAGTGTTTTCAAGCAAACCCCTTAGATACTGCATGAGTTTCAGGTGCACGTTTTAAAAGCAGTGATTTTACTTACAGAGGTAATAAATACGGTCACTACAAAACCTCTGAGTTCTGGCGTTATTTCAATTTCATGTACTTTCATGTTCCCACATCCCCAGAATTTGATGTGCCACTGGTTGTCATCTTTAGGTTTACTCGTTACAGTATGGGGGCAGGCCCATACATTTCAGGTCCCTTCACACTCAGGACAGTATCACCAAATCTAAAGATTTTACATTGGCTTCACAGTTTTCAAGCTTTTCTTCACAATCATGAAAGAGAATTGATTTTTACAATACAGACTCAGGTTCTTCTGCACAATCCTGCCACAAGAAGTAGATTTAATTAAATTCAGCAGCCACAAAAGTGCAGAACATACAGGTCCCTCCATGTCATCTTTGAGATTCATCACAAGCTGGAAGTCTTCTCTGAAACTCTTAAAATGCAAATATTCTTACCATCCAATTTTAGTACCTTCAGTATGGAAAATGGTTGCTGAATTCAACTTGACTTCCTTTTATAAGAATTTTATATCAATACCTCTTTGTTCTGTATGTTATCTTTAATATCCTGGTTGAATGTTGCCTCCTGCTGGGTTCTCTCTACCCTTCTGAACAAATTTTGTCCATCAGGATTTTTCTGACCCTTAAACAAACGGAGCTGACAGAGTTTAGCTTCGGAAACACAGAATGGCACCACGGATTGCCCATTCTGGCAATGACCATGTGTTTCACACAAATACTGCATACTCTGTTCAAGACTGAAGCCTGGGTAGCAATAAGGCACGTCAGCAACTGCTAATGCCACGGGTTAGTATCTGTAACTTTAGGATTTCACATGTTCTTGGAAAGAACAGCTGAGGCTCTGTGCTAGCACACAGCACTCCTTGGTGCTTCAGGCTGCCATCCAGGCAGCGTTCTGAACATGCCTGAACCACACCATTTGGCTTCACAAGAGCTGACTGTGCACTTGGGAAGACTTTAGCATCTGTCTTGTGTCTTTCAGGCTTCAGGAAAACAGAAAGAGTGACTTTTTTTACTTGAGTACAGTCCTTTCAATGGCAACACATTTCTGCCAAGAGAATTCAACTGCAACTAGGCAAGCTTGCTGAACGCTATGCTGTTGAGTACTGCAGAAAACAAGTTCCACACATTTAACAATGGGAAATTCACACAAGATTCACTGCCAGTACAGATGTCGGTCAACACTTGAACACCAACCTGTGTCTAAATCTTTGAAACTAGAGTTAAAAGCACACTTAGAAGCTGTAAACCATCATTACGAGCCAGGGGTTATTACTTGGGGCAGTACATTACTGCCTGCCCTCTCCAGAGAAATGAGGGCTGTGGATTTTACCTTTTGCAGTGCTGGATGCAGATGCTGGTCGGGAGGACCTCTTGCGCTGTCCGTTCTCTACAGTTTCCTGTGGAGCGGCAGAATCCTCTGTTCTTGAATTTCTTCTACTTGGAGTTTTAGACTTTTCACAATTCTCTTTTGTCTCATTACTAATAAAGTGGGACAAAATATTTCTGATGAAGTGTAAGAAGGATTATGCTTTTCTATGCAACTCAGACAAGCTGGAGGATGGACCGACACAGGTACCAGTTCCGGACTATTAGCACTGAAGATATGAAATGCTAGAGATACCAGAAGTTTTATCAGATGCAGAATGACCTGAGTAAGCCAGAGTATAGTCCGTTTCTATTAAAAATTACCAGAGGATACAGAATTGAGAAGTCCTCAAAGAGAATATTTTCAACATTAGAAGACCAAGAAATTAGATGCATTATAAATTGTCTGCTCTGTTTTCCACAGGTGCCACCATTACTGAAGTCTAGGAAAAGCAAACAAGTTACATTAGAGACCGCTATGATATGGGAACACAGAGTTGAAATTGCAGATGAACACAAGGAGGCATTATGAACTCTTCAGTGAGTATGCCAGCTTTTGCTTTTACAAGACTCACTCCACTGATCTTCAATATTCAAAAGCTTAAGGCTTATTTTAAACTTTCTTAAAGCTTTAAAGCTTGACGTTAAAACGGTTTCTTTTCATAATAGAAAGCTTTTTCTGCTATATCAAATAATTTAGGTAGCGTGGAAATCCACATTTCCTGTCCCCGAGACAACAGATAGAGTGCTACACTTTGTAATTAACTCTTTACCCTGTGAATTCCTCCTGAGGTTTGGGTGTTTTCTCCTTAATGCATGAATGCCAGACAATTTCTGTTGCCTAAGTGGTTTCTGAAGATTACGCTAAACTTATCTCCTGTGAATTCAAAGGTAAGTAATGAACCAAGTAAATCACTGCCAATACTGGAAAAGGAGAAACACAACTCATTTCATGGCCTTGGGGTGATACTTGTGAGATGTCAAGAAAGGCTGCCTTAATCAGAGAACCGAGTGAAAACACACAGAGCAGACCTGTGCGTTCCAGAGGCTCCACTACACTGCCACTGGTTCAGAGGAAGACCTATTTTGAGAGGAAAACCTACTACAAACACTTGTAGTTTTAACGACTTAAAACACAGTTTCTCAATGAGAGACTATTCAGAGGAGAATATTGAAGCACATGGACTGTCTCAGATAAAATAAATCATAGACAGGATCATAGGCAACCTATAAACTGAATCCCCCAAACAGGTCACAAACTGCTCTTCTGGTCAGTAATGTGGGCAGCTGCAATAGCAGCCACCTACTTCAGAGGATACTCGGAGGCAAGCAAACAGGCATCAGCAGCTGAAGCTCAGTTATTACAGATAATTTTAACAGATCTAGTCACTAATCCCAAAGGAACCAACTCATCACTTCTTTTATAGGAGGAAATCAAGTTGTCCCAAGTAAAAATATTCCCGGTGCTTTCTAGGTTGCAAGTTCCTCTAAGGTTTGTACCAAACAGTGCTGAACTCCAGGGGCTCAGAGCTGGCCACTCTATCAGCCATCACTAGATTCACATTCTGTCTGAAAACCTCCCTTCTTTTCTGGTCTTGCTCAGAAAAGCATCAGCCCAGAAAAATGCAATCAGAAATGCACTCGTGGTCATCTGATGTGCTGAGGAGTGTGGACAAGGGTCATGCAAGGGTGCTTCACTTGGAGAATCTGCTCATCTGCTAAGTGTCACACCATCAGCTTTCCAGAGGAACTGCACCCTAAAGAAAACTTGTACTGACAGTTCAGTTCATCTTTGATACAAGTACAAAGATCCCAATCCATGTGATGGTAAATACAGTTACATATTCAATGTGGAGTCACTTCTGATCTGAGGAACTGTACTGTGCTTCCTCCCTTACAAATGATGAACCAAATGAGTTAACTGTACCTCTTGCCCTGGCTTAGGGCTTCACTCCACTGATGGGGAGCATCAAAAACTCAGCCATTCGTGCCTACATTGTTATCCAAAAACCTTACAAAGGTTCATCATTACAGCTGCCTAGACTGAGTTTAAGAGTCTGGTGGGTTTAGAATCTAACAGAAACAGACCTTGGAAACTGCATTTTCTTCTGGCAGAACACAATCTTTTGAAATTTGGTTTTTTAATTACTGAGTGTCTTAACTGGCACACGATGAAGTTTCTACCTGACTTTCCTATCAGGTTTTGGCAGGTGTCAACAGGCAAACAGAAGAAATCTGGAGAAAACAGTCACAAGGGCAGAAAACCCCCAAACTTTAGAAAAGCTGAAGTGCAGAAAACAAAACTTCACATAAGAACTAAGCTGCAGGCTTTGGGGGTTTTAGTTTTGATTTGTTTTCAGAAAATAGCAAACAGTAGAACCTTCAAGACCCTTCCAGGACATGAAACAGGCCTGAAGGGATAAGAGGAAACACTGCCCAAAGCATGAAGACAGAGCTGGGAAACGTTACCTTACATTCTGCATTTCAGCAATGTTTTGAAACACAGTTGATCCCAATTTCTTAGCAGGACAGAAAGGGCATGGACAAGAAAATGAAAAGCAGTAGCAGAAGGTGTGCAACTGAAGCAAAGAGAAAGGGACTTCCTCCCATGAAAGCTACATCTATTCTGCATCTACACAAACTATCTCCTTACCTTTGACCAGCAACTACCGGAGCATTTGTTTCAAGTTCTACAAGAGAAAAAGATAATTTTAAAATCCACTGTCAAGGCACAACCATCTCACATTATTCTCATTATGCTTTAGCTCTGAAGAATAATCTTCTCTCATCTACTGTTTCTCACAAAGCAAACTGACACATCAAACAAGTACCAGGTCAGCCAAGTGCTCTTTCTGCTTATAACCTGCACCAGCTAAGGCAGAGGAAAGTTAAAAGGAACCCTGCAGAAGAAAATGGTGGAGAAACTTCCTGACAAGAGCTACAGTCCTCTCCCTTTTTCAGCTCCCATTTTAGACAGTTTATCACTTCTAAAACATCTACGGTTTATTCTTTTTAAACCTTAAAAATACTAATGTGGATCTATTATGCACATTAAATTTTACCTTAACCCAATCACCTCTTACAGCAAGACCTTCTAATGCAAAAGGAGGCAATCTTCTGAAGCCCAATTATACTTCTGCTGAATTGGAAAATCTCTCAGGAGATAATGTAGATTTCTCATCCTTTTAACTGTCCCATCTCTTCATTCTCATATCCACCAGACCCTTTGTTGAGAGGGATTATCTCTACCTAAACACAGCACCTCTTGTGAGAAACTGCCTTAGGGATTCATCACAATGTAAGGTATTAACTCACTGTTCATTTGTCATGGTGCCTATAACAACTCCATCTCACCCTTAAACACCCCCAAACCTCTGGGACACTGCTGCACTGAACCGTGGCTTTGCCTTTAGGATCAATTCAGTACCTAAAGTTTGCTAGAGTGTAGACAAGGAATACAGGTATAAAATAAAAGGGTAAGAAAACTGATAGTATCTGGCCTCTTCTGGTAAACACCCCTTACAATACGCATGGTTGAAACATCAGGCTCTTCAGTGTAAGTCTATATAGCACTGCCTGGGAAAAACAAGTATCTTGGTAACAAAAGAAATACAGACCAAGCAACATAAGGAAAGAGTTACTTTTCTTCCTACCCAAAATTTGAACAGGGAGAATATCCAACAGCAAAAAACCCAACCCCCAAATTGCCAAGCATGTTAATGACCATTAAATACGCATTAAACTAGGTGTAGTTTCAGTTACAAACACAGTTTAGTTCACCTACATTCCGCTTTTCCAAAGTAAGATTTACCTGTTCTTTGAACAGTACTTTCTGATGGTGGAACTGAACTTTTTTTCTGTGTTAAAGGTTGAGAGGATGCTAGAACAAAAGTGGAGGGGAAAAAGCATTATTTTCAAAGGGAGTCGCAAACATTTTCTATTGTGCAATCGCGCTGCTTTTACAGAACACTGCATCTTCCACCTTACTGCAATGCTTTCATTTACAGATGCAATATTGCTCACCTACACTCTATTCTCCCCCCACCACGCACACCTCCCCAGCTTAAAACTCTGTCAGAATTATCCCAAGTTTTCTCAAACTAGGAAAAGTGATGAAATTAAATATCATAAATCCCTTTTCTAATGGCAACAGTTTTTCACCAGACTGAGAAATTAAAGGAAGTCCTAGAAATTAAAGAGTTCAGTCTCTTAGATTAATGCTCATTTCAACAGAAGTTCTGGGGCAAAAAAAGCTTCTTTGTAAATGAATCAATGCCCTCACTCTTTCAATTGCAAGGGTGCAAAATATGCTCCAGAGGCTCCCTTGAAGTCCTCTGGCAACAAGATGACGTGGCTTAACATTTCTTAAGTTGCCAAGTTAAAACTAAGATGGAAAATCAGTTCTTGTCAGGCTACCGCTTTCTGGTCTACTCTTGTATGTGATAATGAACTTAGAACATGAAGACAGAAAGTTAAACATTACTTTTTAATGAAGAATACCCACTTCCATCTTTCTCCTAACAAATCAGAATTCCTTCTGTGAAGCTTAAAGGAAATGTTTCCGTTTTCTACTGGCACACAGCTATGACATACATCTAAGAGCCACAGGGACGTCGTGTTCAAGCTGAAGTTCTCAGTTGTGCTGACTTCTGTCGATTTTACTGTCCTGAGCTCAGCAGTAGCAGTCATTTTTATTCCTTCTTAGTAGCTGGTGCAGTGCTGTGTTTTCAGCTTTAGCCTGAGAGCAACGCTGATAACACGCCGATGTTTTTAGTTGTTGCTAAGTAATGCTTACTCCGATCAAGGACTTTTCAGTCTCATGCTCTGCCAAGGGAGGAGGAGAAGCTGGGAGGAAGCAGAGCCAGGACACCTGACCCAAACTAGCCAAAGGGCTATTCCATACCACAGCACGTCATGCCCAGTATAGAAACTGGGGGGAGGTCATCCGGAAGGCCCAGATCGCTGCTTGGGTTGGGCTGGGAATCGGTCGGCAGGTGGTGAGCAATTGTATTCTCTCCCCTTGTTATTTCCCTTATCATTATTATTATTGATAGTAGTTTTGTATGATACCTTAGTTATTGGACTGTTATCTCAACCCGTGGGATTTACATTCTTTCCATTCTCCTCCCCATTCCTCCGGGAGTGAGGGAAGGAAGAAGGGGTCAGAGTGAGCAAGTGCTTCTGTGGTTCTGAGTTACCAGCTGGGCTTAAACCCCAACACTCAGAAACACAAAAGGAGTTGTCAGCCTTGGCTGTGGGGTCTAACTTTTATTATGTTCATAGAGAAAAGCACCTAGGAAGTTTAAAGAAGCAACCCTACATTTACACAGGGCAGCACTGGACTTACCTGCATTCTGTAGCAGTTCCTGATGTGCTCCTGCTTTTTCCTCCACCACAGCAGCCCCGGTTTGCTCAGCCGGTGCAGCACCGTGGTTACTGCCATTAGTGCTTGGTGCTGCAGGTGAGAGGTCTGGGGCTGCAGGAGTGGTTACAACCGGTGGTACACTGGTAGGAGGAGTGCTTGTTGATGTGCTCGGAGGTGTGGAGGCAGGAGCAGCAGCTGTGGTGCTGGCACCCGAACAGCCAGGCCCAGAAGTGCTCTGTTTTAGAAGACTGGGTGCTGGCAGTGTCACAGTTTTATTATCTAGTTCTGCTGGTGACTGCTCTGTTCCCAAACTGTTTGGGACCAATGTTTCTAGTCCCTGACCTTCTGCTTCGCCATCCAAAGCATACTGCTCTTCCCCTTTCTCAAGGGAGCCAGTGACTTTCTTGCAAGCTTTAGTCAACAAGAGCTGGCCAATCTTGTCTACTTTTCCCTTCCCCTTACTTGATGAAACAGGACTGCGCCTGTTCCCAGATCCCGGACTACTTGTCAAAAGAGGTGAAACAACAGGTCCTGACTGCGTTGCTGTAACAGAACACTGGTCACTCGACCCACCACTTTGAGAAGAGGTCTCCTCTGGGCTGAAGTCTTTGCCTTGCTGAGCAGGGAGATTTGAGGGAGCACTGGAAGAAGTTGTAGCAGGAGAAGGCAGCTGACCAGGAGGTGCCAAGGGATTAAGAACCAGTGGCCTGCTGGTGGGAATGGTAGAAACAGGACTGGTGGATGATGTGCTGGGAGGAGCGGGTGTGGAGGAGAACTTTATATTCTGTGGTATATGCAAAGGCCCAACAACCGCGACCGACTGAGGCATCAGACTAGAGTTAGAAGTCATGGGGGCTGCTGGAATCGTACTTGACTGAGAGCCCTTCATAACCTGAATTATTGATGATGAGTTTATAAACACAGGTGTAATAAACTGTGGCCGGGCATTCGACTGAACTGCTGACTGTCCCTCAGACACCATGACTTTGTTGCCTACATTGGGCATTGTGACAACAGTTGACACCAATGCAGGCTGCAAGTGAGATGGCAATGGTGCTGATGTATTAGCAGCAGATGTAATAGGGTTTGAAGTTACAAAAACTGTTATCTGGTTGGGAGGCAAAGGACCTGAAATAGAAGAAGAGCTGACAGGCCTCTGCATTACTGGAGGAACGCTCTGTGCAACACTTGAGTTTATTTCTCCCAGTTCCTGGTGCCCTGGTGTTGAACAGGGCTCATTACTTTGAGGCAAGCTAAGTGAATTAGATGACTCTTTGCTCGAGGATGAATCTTGCAGTGGAGGAATGACAGCTATCTTCTTTAGCTCCTCACTAGTGGTAACTATCGGTGCCATTTCAAGACCAGTCAGCCCAGGAGGCTTAATGGTTACGTTAGGAGCTCCAGAATTATCAAGAAGTTGACTTAAGGAAGTTGGTGCCTCCCTCATAGCTGGAGACACCATGGGTTTACTTTCCTCCATGACTGGAAGCTTACTGGAGTCCAAAGCTTGCCCATCTTTTTTTGGCTGTTCTTCTGGAACCACCATTTTCATTTCTGGAGTAGGGATACCTTTTAGTTCAATACTGGGCTGGTCTTTGTTACCTTGGACACCTTGAGCACTCTGACACTCGTTATCTTGAGGCACGCTAAGGCTCTCTTTGTTGTCTTCGGGAATGCCCACCACAGGAGGTACAGATACTGCAGGATTCGGGTTATTTAGCATGTTGTTTTGGAAGCTTGAAGTCACAGGTGTTGGCAAAGAAGAGGGACCAGCCATCATATTTCTTTGTAATTCCATGTTCTGCAAGAGAGATGGATTCTGCGGAGTTGTCAATGACAATTTAGCTGCTTTTGAATTCTGCCTGCCAGGGCTTGGGGTAGTTTTCCTACTGGATCCAGGACTGGATCTCCGACTATTGCTTGGACTTGCTCTCTTTGTTCCTCCAGTGTTGGTTTGTTTTCCTGAATTCATGACCACACTTTCCAATTTGTGTGACTGTGGAGAAGCAAAACTAGACTGATTGTTAATGGTGAGATTTGATGGGGCTTGTCCAATGGCCTTCAAAGTAGTGGGATTAAGACCCTGCTGATCAAATCCTCTATTGAGATTAGGTCTGGGAGGTAAAGGAATATTAATCTGGGGAGGGAACAAACCAGCTATAGAAGCATTGAGTCTCTCTGGAGACAAGCTGATTTCTGATGGTTCTGTGCTAGGTGGACGGTTATTAGGAGTCTGAGGATAGTATGGCCTTGGGCTTGCTCTGTTTGGGGTTTTAGGCCTTGCAGTTTGTGATGGGGTGGCAACATTTGGAAAATGGTGTGTAAGAGCACTAGACAGAGAATTCGACTGCTGCTGAGGACTTGTACCTTGGGCAGCTGAAAGTGGGGAGGGTCCAGTTTTGGGTCCTGTCATCATTAGTTGGTTTTGTGAAACTACTAAATGTGATGTCAGGTTATTCTGAGCTGCTGACGCTGGGGGGCCTTCAGCTCCAGCTCCTTCTGGAAGGGAGGAAACTGATGAAACCTCTCCAAGGGGTGAGCTGGAAGGATTCTGGACATTTTCTTGATAAACCACTTTTCTTGCATTATTTCCCAGAGGAGGATTGCCTGGCAAGGAAATTCTTTGTTTATCAGGAGATGGAGGCACTGACCCAGGACCCTGGAGGTTAACCATTACTGGCATGTTACCACCCTGCTGCATTGGCATTCGCTGAGCATCTGGATTCAGAGGCCCTCTAGGTGGATGAACTCCTTGTGGTACAGGAAGCCTGACCGATTTGGGATCCTGCTGCATCATAAGCATCATCATCATCTGCTGCTGCTGCTGTGGTGTTTGTGGTGCTGCTTGGGCTTGCTGTGATGGTGGCTGCGGCTGCTGCTGGGGCTGTGGTTGTGGCTGCTGTGCATGTGGCATGAGTTGAGGTGGCATCTGCTGAAGTGGTCTTTGTTCCACTGGCTGAGATGGATAACCTGAGACAACAAGATGATGCATTCATTAAAACCAACCAAAGATCAGAGAAAGCGTAATTTCTGTAACAAACAAGATCAGATAGGAAGTATAGCCAGGAGCCTGTTTGTCTTATGCGAGAGCCACATCAATGAAACAGGCTTTACAAATAAGTACAAGGACTACCGAATTCTCAGAGGTATTTTTACTCAGTCTATGAATAACTTGTATGACAAGCAATTGGAGATCTCTTAGTGTATCATACCAGCTACTATTACTCCAGATTCATGCCAGCTGAAGACCCTGCAATTGTCCATGGGCTTGCTTTCTGCCACAGTTGCAGAGTTGGACTTTCACTAATATTCCTCAAAACAACCTTAAAGAGTTTGACAGGCACTGTTGGACATGGCCTGGCATACATGCGACAGGTCTGACATTTTCTAGTGTACAAAGTAGAATCTGCCATGTATTACTTGCCTAAAAACAGTGCTAAGAACCACCCATGTGGCTTATAACACAAATTCCTTTGCAGACTTTGGATTTAATTCTCCCTATGTGCAAAGCACAATTCCAACTGCAGTCTCTACTTCCTAATTCTAAAAAATCAGCTATTTGGTTAATACTTCTTAAAGCATCAGTCTGTGCTACAGGTAGAAATACAGATTTTTGTATCAATTATCCTATTGCTGAATAACTGCAGTATTCAGTATGATACCTACAGGACGATACATGAGACTGTGGACACCTCTTCATTTTGAGCTAATTCAAAGAAAACATTTTAACAATCAGTTACTAGGAGGGAAAAAAGCTTTGGCCTTGATTGTGTGATGACACAAACCAGACCTGTCACAAGGATGAGTTAAAAGCTCTCCTGTAGTTATTACATTCAGATAATCCACAGAAAAATCCAGCTACCTGGTGGCCTACTTGCAAAATCCGGAAGCTTGGGGCCTGAGTTATCTAAACTCATTCCTTGATCTCCAGACAGTGATGACTGATCGCTCTCCTCCAGGCCAGCTGGACGTGGTTCTGAAGAACTGAAAGAAAAATAACTGTAATTAAGATCCAGCCTCATGTCAGTGTTCGACCTCTGCTGCCAGAACTCAAGGAATTAATTCCTTGCACTTTTCACAGACCTTCAAGTAGCTCACTGCCATGCACCACTGCCTCTGGTGTAAAAGGTCAGACTTGCCCACAGAGCTCAGGTCTGCTGGCAGTCACTCCTGTGCCTTAAATACACTTGAAGAAGTTACCTGGTGCTCTACTGATCTTCAACATTTTTTCCCCTTTTTTTCCTACTCTGAATACGAGTTTTATAACTAGGAAAATGCCAATGGATATTCCAAATGATATAGATATTTATATCCAAACTAAATTGATTTCCCTCTAATACTGCTGTGACACCTGTATAGGTAAGTAAATATCATGGGTAGAAGCACAGAAATGTATTTCAATGGTAGCAACACTTCTTCCAGTAGTGTACATAGAAGTGACAAGCTCAGGGTACCCGAGACCTCCATAAACATCACAGCAAAATGCACCGATGCATCGGACGTTATTTCACCCACCAGAGCGCAAACCTTTGTGGGATACTGAGGCTCTGCAAGTGATCCTGGAATCACAGAATGGTTTGGGTTGGAAAGGACCTTAAAGCTCATCCAGTTCCAACCCCCCGCCACAGGCAGGGACACCTTCCACTAGAGCAGCTTGCTACAAGCGCCTGTGTCCAACCTGGCCTGGAACACTGCCAGGGATGGGGCAGCCACAGCTTCTCTGGGCACCCTGTGCCAGTGCCTCAGCATCCTCACAGGGAAAAGATTCTGTTTAAAATCTTATTCCCCCTTGTCCTCTCACTATAGTCCCGAGTAAAAAGCCTCTCTCTAGATTTCTTGTAGCCACTTTAGGCACTGGAAGCTGCCCTAAGGTCTCCCCTTCAGGAGCCTTCTCTTCTCCAGGCTGACCAAGCCCAGCTCTCTCAGCCTGGCTCCAGAGCAAAGCTGCTCCAGCCCTGGCAGCATCTTTCTCCTCTGGACTCACTCCAACAGGTCCATGTCCTTCTTACTCTGAGCGCCCCAGAGCTGGATGCAGGACTGCAGGAGTCTCAGAGCAAAGGGAGAGAATCCCTTCCCTCAATCTGGTCATGCTGCTGGTGATACACGCAGGATACAGTTGGCTTCCTGACCTGCAAGCACACACTGCCAGCTCATATTCAAGCTTTTTATCCACCAGTGCCCCGAAGTCCTTCTCTAAGACTATACAATAGAAGCGTGAAGTTAAAGACATCAAAATTAGCCCACTGCCAACAAAGAGGCAGAAACATGCAGAAACAGCAAGGACAGAGAAATTCTCAGGAAAATAAGAATCTGTAGTAAATAAAGGCAGAGAAACCTATCTTATTTAATGTTACTTGAGAGTAAGTGTCTCCAGCATCTGTATAGCAGACATGGAGAGACACAGGCCTGCTCTAATGACCTGATACAAGTGTTCAAAAAGCAGCTTGTGACTTACAAGTCCCTGAACGCCCGCTGGTCAAAACTGGGGAGAACAATCCAAGAGAGAAGAAAGGTAAGATATGGGACAAACACAGAATGCTCAAACAGTGCTGCTGAGCAGGTGAGTACTGTCAAGGAATGCATTAATCCTTTTGTCTAATCCAGCACACTCCCAATCCTTGTGATGCAGTCGTTGTTTGCCTACAACAGTGAATTTGAACAGCGAAAAATGCATACAGAAGCACTATATTAGCAGCCACAAATGAACACAAATTGTGGCACCAAAAATCACCCAGAGGAGCTGCAGCCTTTGAGGTAGGTGCCAGCACCGTGACCTGGAACAACTGCCTAAAATTGTGACTACAGTCTTAGGTTTGTGATTTTGCCATCTGTGATTTGTTTCTAATGGTGGGAGATTGAAAATGCTACAATTAAAGATCAGACAGAAGCCAGTGCAGAGCAGCACAGCACAAACAGGTTTAACCTAGGAAACAATGGTGGTGCAAAATGAATTCTTAGAAAACATCTCCTGCCAGATGGGTCTGATCAGGCATGTACAAATTGTGCAAACAGACCCGAGTGCTGTTTGCCAGCAAAGAGCAGCAGTTATTGTAGGAGAAACTGCTATTGTAATTGCTGGACAATTTAAACATCACTTGAAGGCTGAATATTGCTGAAATTCACTGGGCATGTTCAGCAACCAGCAAAACCCCCTACATTCTGAATGCAAACAATAAGCAAGTTTGTGAGAGAGACAAATATTCTCTATTTGGTCTTCTTTCCTACTGCTCTGGACATAAAAAACCCAAACAACTGCACATCAGGTACAGAACATACTGTCACAAGTGAAGCCTTTGTTCCACCAGCTGCATCCTCAAGCATAACCTTCAGATACAAAAGCCCTTGTCAGAGTGGAGAGAGAACTCCAGAATACAAGAAAACCCCAAAACAACCCAACAAACCCCAAACAAAAAACCCACCAAAAAGCACTGCAGATGCTGAGATAAGGTGTGCAAAAACGAAGTTACAGTTCAGATACGAGCAGAACCAGCCCAACTGACTTGGTAAAATGCTCTGCATCAGCTTTTGTGTTTATAGAAGGGCACTTGATGCTAAATGAGTTCCATTTCTGGGTGTACAGGGAGTGTCACCTCCAGATCTGTGGTTAAAGCTCTCTGTATCTGGTTGACTCCCCTGTGTTGTTCTGCAGCACCAGCAGCCCCTGCCCAGCGCCCATTACCCAAGGTGCTGCAGATCCCAAAGCCTCCAGGAGCTTCACCTAGTGTGTTCTTTCTGTTCTGCTGGAACACATGATGCCCATGGTCTCTGCACAGGGGAACATGGAACAACTGCTTGTTTGTGCAGGTATTTAACTAACACGCTTTATCTACAAAAACATTCCATCTAGCATCTTTTTCCTCGGTTTATATCCCATTATCTACAATCTTCAGGTTCAGAAAGCAGAGGCAATTACTCTTGAACATCCTACTTAATGTCTTGGTTTTCATTCCAATGCTGAGTTGCTCAATTAAGCAAACTTAAAACTATTTTAGACTCAGCTGAATAAACTCCTTCAATAGCTCACTTATCCTATTTACATTCCACAATGGCTCAGTCTACAAACCATATTACTAATGGGACTTTTGTTACTGTATTATTACATCTCAGAAATTATTTCTGAGAAAGAAACAGGGCCATTTTTAGTGTGTTTATCAAACATTTCCACACAAGGTTTGCTGCTCTGAATTCTCACATTTCTGAGCGAGAAGGGCAGGGAAGAAGCAGAGATGAAAGCATCCCCTTCGCTTCTGACGCAAAAGAAAGTGATCCAAAGCAGATTTAATAGAATCAGCAATGGCAAGACAGGAAAACGCTGAGCTTGCCTAATGATGCTAGGGCAGGCAGGAGCCAATGAGGCAGGGAGGTATTACAGCCAGCTTGCATTGCAGTTGCCCTCTTTTTGCTGGAGAATAATCTCAACAACATGCATAAGGATAGCTCCCTTCTCAGTGGTTCTGCAACAGTAAAGTGACTAATATACAGTCCCATTAAGAAACAAAATGCTCATCACTATCAGGTCCCAAGTCAGCATTCTGCAGGTAGCAATGGCAAAGGAATGTTCACTGAAAATTTAAGTCCAGAGTGGTATTTCATTTAAGTACACTGAAATCTGATTAAAAACTATATTTAAGAGCTAAAAATTCTTTTGAATTGTCATAGTTCAATAGAAAAGTTGTAACTTAGGCTTCCTTTATTGTGAAAACTTTTTAACAAGCAGTCTTGTGGGGCTTTGTAAGCTCAGAGGAGAGCTTTATATACCTGCTTATTGCCATTCCCTGGCCACAGGGAATGAAGCTGGGTGATGATCAGTAAGAACAATGAAACCAAAATCCTAACAAGGCTTTTCTTTAACAATTAAAGGGTCTTCTTTTCACAAGAGTCCGACTTGCCCCTCCAAATCCTCTGTCACTTCCACGGCACACAGCTCACTACAGTAGTGGCTACTATTACTTTATTGGAACCTATTGAGAATTGAAGCATTTGATCTTTTACACACAGCACCAGACCTTTCCTCCCTGGAAATAAAAAGGCCTTTTTGTTTTCATCTTTGATTTGGGAAAAAACAAAACCAAACAACAAATCAAACAAAAAAACCCCACAAAAAATAAACCCCTAAACCCCAAACTTTCCATGAAAGATGCAGATGACCAAAAGTGACACAAGGTTTCCATATTTTACTGTGCTACAATGATCAGCAGTGCCTATTGGTACTATCCAAATTGCTGTTGGGTAGTAGCTATGCAACATGAATGGTTTTGGTGCAAGGAAAAATTCGACACTGCTTGTTTGAAAGACATCTGGATAGCTCTGAATGTCAAGTGAACAACAAACAGGAAAATAGCTGCTTGCTATTTATTCAAGACTCTCTGCAAGATCTAATGTATCAAAGGTAGGAAGATGCACTTCTACTGTTCTTTACAACTGGACCACAGAACATTACCCTATGGAATGCACTGGTAGAACCCACTCTTGCCAAATTACTTGCACTTAAAATTTCTGGAATGGCGAATGAAGACACCTTCATGCCCTCAAACACCTCTCTTCCATGTAGCCACAATCTACCAAAGCTAGAAGGCTTGGCATGTTGTCACCTGTGGCCTTCCCCATGCAGCATTTCTGTACCTGTAAATGCACATAACAGCTCCTGCATTTTATTTTAGTACTAATTCAGCCAATTAACCATTGTCACAACAGATCTCTTGCTACAGATGATGCGAGTTGCTTCAGTCCACAGCTAACAGGTCCACGAGAAATTTAATACCATCTTCACGAAGGAATCTTGACATTGTGCAGAAAATGCAGGTTGGGGAAAACATTAAATATTGAACAGTTGCTTAGTAATCAAATGCCATCCACTCCTTGCACCGAGCTGGACATCTCTCTCTGGGAAAGGTGGCATAAACTTCAGGTTAAGAACTTACAATGATTATTCAAAGGAATGGGACTGGTGGAACCACAGCCACACCAGTAACTTAATGTGCCATTGCCACCTCATTTGTTCTTAACAATTTAACTTCAAAATTTGGATATTCCTGGGCTCTAGTTTGCTGTGCAAAGTTTTTCCTTTTTCTAAAGCAAAGTGGAAACAAACCCCAGATGTTCCTCACGTGGATTCCGGTCAATGCCCCTGTGGCTCATCTGCAGCAGATGAATAATTAGAGCTAGTAATGCAGAGTAATTAGATAGAGCAGATCTGCCTTTACCATTTCAGCTGAATAAAGGTAGAGCAGCAGCAGTCTACCACCCTGTGCTGGTATTAATAGACTCTCAACAGCAAAAAGCCACATGATAGCTGGCAAACAGAGAGCATGCTGGCCAAAAAGGAACAAAGAGATTCAGCAATCTCGTTCCACTAACCGGGTACATTCATTCATTATCTCTCAATATTACCCATTTGCCTCTTGCCTCTCAAGAGTTGTGGGTTTTTTCCTTCCTAATCTCTCCTACACCACGAAGATCAGCACTGCTGGGCTTTGTTATTCTCACATCCAGAAAGTACTGGATTCCTCCCTCTGAATTCTAGTTGCAGCTTCAACTAAGAGAGAAGTCCATAGCTGGCTCTATGCCATTATATTCCAGGCATAAAAATGTCAGAATATAAATATAATTCAGCAAACAACCCTCCAAAAATCTCTACTGCACATATTATATGGAGGCTTCTAATTCTTCTGAAAGTACTTCCCAACCTTTGATCACGGCTGTCAGACTGCTTACAAAAGGCAGTCTCCTCTTCCAAGGAGGCACCATCCGACACATCCTACACTTCCTTTACCCAGTAAATGTAAGGAACAGTGTTTTCCTAACTGAGGGTGTTTGCATGGGGTTTTTAAGTGTTGAAGGAGCTTTCCAGTGGCAGACTTGCCAGTGGGCTATCATTTAACTCTTGCAAGAAATTGCTAGAATATGAAATAATACAGGTCCTTTCTTACCCCGTATTTGCTGAAAAAATATTGACAAGTTGCCTGTGGAGCTTCCCTATGCCCCTTAGAAAAACAATGTAATAATAAACCTACGTTGTTTGCTCTAGTTGTTGATTATTTTTCTTCTTCCTTGGAGGCTTCTTCTTCTTTGGCTTGTTGGCATTCTGATTATTTTGTTTGTTGTTCACGCCAAAGTGTCCTGCTGATATATCACTTTGCAGAAGGTTAACCAAGAGTGGACTTGTGAGTGTAACATCTTTATTGACAGGAAAAACAGGATTTTGCCCACAGGAAATCTGATTCCCGTTTGGCGTTCCACTAAACCCCGTATTGAAAGGCAGCCCATGGCCGGAGAAATGACTCCCTGAAGTGTTGTTGTTTCCTTGCATTGCTTGCATATGAGAAGGCACCATGTTTGGCTGCTGCACAGGAACATCAGGTAACATCTGGGTCAAGTTCACATCATTATTTGTTGTAGTAGCAGTATCCCCAAGTTGCTGAGATATATGAGGACCAGGTCCAGTGGGTCTTAACACTTGCCCTTGAATTCCCATAACCTGAGAAGGATTACCATTCACAGGGCCTTGCTGTGCCATCATCTGCCCAGTGAACTGCACCATGTTTCCTTGCATGTTTGGGGTTGGTCCTCTCATCAGTTGAGCTGGCCCCGTCATAACATTGGACTGGCTTTGAGTACTAAAAGGCTGTTTATTTCCTTGCATCTGAGTGGTCATCATCTGTTCCATCATTGAATTTTGTTGTAACAAGACCTGGCCCTGAGGTCCCATCATTTGATTGTGTGTAGACATCATCTGTTGTCCCTGCTGGGGAATCATCTGTTTGGGTGGGGTCATCCTTTGGGGAGAAGGACCAAGATTTTGGTTTTGTGGTGCCACCATCATTTGGCCTTGTGGCATGAGCTGAGTTCGAGAAAGTATCATCTGGTTTTGAGGGTTCATCGATCCCTGAGCCTGAATGTTTACCATCTGTCCTTGAGAGGATACAATTTGCTGGTGCATTCCCATAAGCTGAGACTGTGGTCCTTGCTGAGGCTGTCCCTGTATGTTTCCCATGTTAACTTGTGGCACCCCACTAGCACCCGCCTGCTGGTTGTTCATATTTCCATGAAGTCCCATTAGATTGGTCTGCATCATATTTGGTGGGCCATGTGGTGCTTGCATCTGATTTTGAGGAGGTCCAGATCCTTGGGCACCTTAAAACAAAATAAATAATTGCCAGTAAGAAACTCTTTGGAGCACTACAACCACAACTCCAAAACTGAGTTCCTCCCTTTTCCAGAGAACTGGAATATCTGACATATTTGCAGCCTTCTGATGCAATGTTTGATGCTACAGATACGTGTTAGTAGTTAAAACAGAACATCATACTTCTCATAGTAAACATAGGAAGTACCATAGACTGGTATTTCCCATGTACCCCACTGCAGAAGATGTAACAGACATTTGACCAGTTGTTATCGTATGTAAGTTTGACAATCTTGCATAATATCATCTAATACAACAGAGTAATTGCTAACCAAAATAAGCTCCAAACTTCGAGGTTATTTTATAATGGGTTAAAAAATAAACACACACGGAGTACTAATGAAATGACATTGTCAGGGTATCCATAATCCAGACAAAAGACTGATGACTGAATTGTTAAATGGAGGCCTTTAGGAACTAAAGATTTCAAATGTACAGGACTGAGTAAGTAGACTTCTAAAGGAACTAATAATCTTTTCAAAGCAGAACAAGATTATGTTGTTGTTTTGCTTCTAAGATAATAACCCTCTCTTTTTTTCCAGACAAGTTCCTTTTGTGTTACATCTTTATTACCCCCATTGAATGGAAGCAGAACTTCCAACTGAATGGAAGCAGCACTCTACATTCCAGTGCTACGTCCATTCAATTTCTTAATCCTGGATCCTAGTACCACAGTCCTAATCAATAACAGTTGGGTTGTTTGACAAAATTGAGCAGCCTCCTCCTTTTCTTCTCCTCATTTAGCAATCCAGAATGCCCCTGCAGCCCCAAGGAGCTAACTCCCTATCAGTGACAAGAGTTTAACGTCTTGGTATCTGTGTTACACAAGCAAAGGTGCAATTTTCTACATAAAGAACTGAGGAACCCGATTCAGACAGACCTGTGTGCTGCACGTTTTGGCTGGTCTGCAGCTGCGGCGCGCCGCTGTTCACCGCCGGGGCTGGAGCTGTGGAAGGCACCTGACCTTGCAGGAAGTTCTGGTTGGCCTGGCCTGCAGGGAACCCTGGTGGGAGGCGCTTGGGCATTCCTGAACACAAAAGGTTTCTTATTAGTAAGTATGGAAAACGAGAAGAAAAAGAAGAGAAAAATCTCTAATTGGAGTATGATGGAAGAATACCTTTGAGTCTGTACTGTCATGTTACAGGTTTAAGCAGAAAGTGCCTTTTGCCAATATACAAAACCACTGAAGACATTTAAAGTTCTTATCTGTGCAATAATTCTGCCTAACAAGCTACTATGACTCAGCTCAAACTGTAATTTAAGTACAAAACATATCCCACAGAGAAAGTAGAAAGTCTCCATGTTTGACTTTTTAGAAACCAGAAATTAAAGGAAGAGTTTGCCATTTTCTTCTCTATTGCACCTCAGCTCTAATCAGGCCCTTAACTTGCTGTGTGTAGGCAAACACAAGAAACTGGTGTTCCTGTTACAGTGATGTGCTCCTCTCAACAACTCTTGCCATAACACATCAGGTACATGCTCCTTAGCAGTCCTTTGCACTGCTGCTGTGTGTACGCACCCCCACAGTAACTTCTCAACCCCAGAATGGGCTGAGCAACCTCATGAGAGAGCAGCAGCTCGAGTCCACAGTGACTGCTCATTCGGGTAGCCCTGCTATTCCTACTGGCAAAAGAAGTAATTCTGTCAGGCCCCTACTTGGCACAATGCCCTCACTTTGACATATCTAAATGTCACCACTGCCCTGGGACAGAGAGCAAACCCTTCCCTCTACCTACCAACGTGAGCAGCAGCATAAATGGATTTAACAGAACCCATTTCTTTTGAATTCACTGTCGAACAGATGATGCCACAGACCTAGAAGCAACCCTGTCCTCCCTTATTTTTCTGACCCATGATACACTGCCAGAATTTGACTTTGGTTCCTTTTACAGTTACAGCTTTCTAGCACACCTACATGTATTGCTTGTGTTAATTAATCTGGTCTTAGGTTTGTCATTAATATTTCAAGATAATCAAGTTTACAGGTCAAACAACCAACTGCAACTATGCAACATACACTTCTTGAAGCATCACATCACTGGGCTCTAGTTTTAGTTCTTCTCAACTTTTAGGAAAGTTTTGTACATAGGAATGCTTGAACTGAGAATAAAGAAGTGTTAACTTGGCCTATTCCATATCTAGTATAAACTGAATGAACTAGGTGAAATGGGAAGAATTTGAATGTATTCATTTACACCAAACCTTTAAAGGCAAGATGGCTTAAAATCTGAAAGCACCACTAATTACATCTTGATTAACATATAAATTGCAGCAAGGAATGAGCATGCACAGAAGCCAGGCAAAAGCCTCAGCAAGTGGAAGCAACACAGCTTTGCTGAAACCAGCAGAATCCTGTCTTTTTAGAGCATATGAGGATATAGCTCACAGCAGGATTCCTGTCTTTAGCAATAAGATCCTACAGTGAGACCAAATAATGTACTTTGATAGCTTATTTGGGGTATCATTTTTAACTCAAAAAAAGTAGGGTTTTGTTTGTAGTAGGTTTACTTAGAAAGGAAGAAGAATGCTGCAGTTACACTGTCTAGAGGTCATGGCTATGCTACCTAGAGGAAATGATTCCTGATGGAGACATATGGCTGATGAGGTGTAGGGAATTGTGACTATAATAAATAATAAATAACTGCTTCCAGATGGAGACAAGATAACATAAACCAAGTATAGGGCACTGGCAGAGCCTAAGAACAGTCTGGAAGAGGAGAACCTTGAAACTGAGACAATTCATCTGAATTCAAATGAAACTCATGGTACAAACAGTGAAAATAAGCAGCTTGTCCAGATGAGCAGACCAAGAAAAAGGTATTCCTTACAGCTTTTTGGACAGATTTCAGACATACAGTGTGAGAATACAAGACAGAAGAATATACATACATATATGTGTGTCTCAGTGGACAAAGAATATGGCTCATATTCTCATAGAAAGAAAACATTTCAGAGGCTTAAGCAAGAGCTTGTGTATGTGTATCTGAGAGCAGCCATCCAAGAGAAAGATGAACAAGAGTGAGCAGAGAGAAGTGATACAAGCCTGGCACAGAACTACAAAAAGCTAAAGTGGAAAAAAAACCACCAAGGACACAAAAGAGAACTTGGGAATGACAAATGGAATTCACTGTTAGAGAAGAATTCTAGGGGTGGTAAAGAAAAGATGTGAGTGTGGAGGTCCAAAGAGAAAACTAAAGACAACACAGCCAAAGGGGGTGATAAAACATTGCTTGACCTCTTAATTTTAGAACAAAGAGTTACAACAGCATGGCAATAATAGCTCTCTCCTCTTTTATATCTGAAGAAAGAGACGACGAAGACAGGTTCAAGAAGAAACACTGACAACTTAGAAAGGAAGATGCAAAATAATGCCTCACTTCTGTAGCAGAAAATGTAAATGGTGACAGAGGAAGCTGAAGAGAGAATCTTCACTTGTTCTTAATACACTCTTGTTCTCAAAAATCTTCCTTCCCTCACCCTCCCCAGTTAACAACCCCAAGCTAAACCAAAAACCCCCACACCATCCCTGAATAGCCTGAACCTGCTTAAAAGCAACAGAAGAATTGTCAAGGTGATAACTGTCAGTCTTAACCAGCAACTGCATTCAGCAATTTCTTTCTGCTGTAGCCCAGAGTCTACATTTAGGTTATCATAGTGACACTGCCAGATAGAGCCAGGTACCAGAAATGAAGTGATGCTGATGCCACATCACCCACAGCCACTGCATAATCAACCTATGCCTTTATTCTGCCCTTCAAAGGATCTTTTCAAAACTAACAGCAACACCAGTTCTAGCCATTTCATGTTTCTTTTCTTTTTAAAATAAAAGAAGGTCTCAGTACTTCTTACCTCCTAAACCAGGGTGTAAACCTTGTGGAGCTTGGTTTTGCTGCTGCATCACCATGAAGTTGGGGGGTACATTCCCCTGTTGCACCATAGGATTACGACTAGGAGAACTGACAGGCTGCTGAAATCCCTGGGGAAGCGTGCTATTCTGGGGAGGCCTTGGTCCCATCTGCTGCTGTGGCTGGTTAACTGTTGGAGATGAGGCAGGAGATCCCTGCTGGAAGGAGGAGGGAGAGGATGCAGGAGACTTGTTGGTCAGGTGGGGTTGTTGTAGTGGTGTAGGAACCCGTGAGGGCCCTCCCTGAAGGCTTTTCATTTGAGGAGCAGTAAACTGGCCAGGATTGCTCATTTGGGGAAAGTTTGAGTGAGCCTGGGAAGCTTGCTGGCTTCCAAAAGGATATGGAGGTGGAGGATGAGTAGGAGTTTGTACTGTTGCTAGAGATGGTCTTGCTTGAAGTTGCGGCTGCATTTGTCCAGGCAACGGGGCCTTTTTCCAGCCCTGGTTTACTGCCAATGTACCCAGTGCTCCCTGGGTTGGAGGAGGCTGAAGCGCTCCAGAAGGAAGCTGGTTCCAGCCAGGAGGAACTGGAACCTGTGCTGGTGAAGTAAATGAAGGTCGAATACCCTGCTGTGGCTGCTGATGTGGCTGGGGAGGACGTGTCTGCAACTGCGTCTGCTGCTGTAGCTGCTGAAAGTTGGCTGAGTTCATCTGCCTGTTTACAGGAACTGACTGCATTGAATGGAGCTGGGGAGCTAAAGATCCAGATGGATGATTTTGCTGCTGGATATTTAGCCCAGATAAGAGTGGGTCCATTGCATCTATTAAAATAGCAAAGAAAAGTAAAAAAAAAAAAAAAAAATAACCTACTGTAGGCAAAACCCTCCCCAAAATGCAAAGAGTAAATGGTTTGCTTGCATTTGCTCACTCTGCATAAAAACTCATGCTCCACCATTCCGATTTTGCCAATAAACAGAACAAGCAATGCTCTAAAAGCTTTCAACATGTTTGGGAATCCTGAGAAGCCAGGACTTACCAATTTATAACCTCTACAATAAAGCATGACAGCCCCACAGCACTTCTTGCTGCAGTCTAATGTAAACCTTCTATATGCTTAGAATCATATACTCACAGAATAGTTGGAAGGGACCCTCAAGGATCCTTGAGTCCAACTCCCTGCTCCCTGCAGGATTACCTAAAATTGAACCATTTGCTTCCTACTGGAGACATCCAACTCATTCACACAATCCTCTTACCTTCATTTAAACATAAAGCTCGGTCACAACAGTTCTACTGTAAAAATACCACACTCAAAGCATTTGAACAACCCACCAAGCAAGCTGGGGACGTAACAGGCACCCAAACTGACACACTTTACCAGATTAATGGGGACCGCGAGGGTTCCACAGAAAGAGTAACACTCAGAAAGGGCAGGGGAAATACTCTAGGGCAATCCTGGAGCACTCCTATGAGCACACACTCATGCCTGTGTGCTGAAAATAAGAATTCAAGAACATTTTCAGGTCAGGACTGTGGCTAAATTTTACCACCTGGCTGTGAGGAAGGCCGAGGTGTTCTTGGCTGGAGCTCAGCACTAGCACCACTTGCCACCATAGAGGAGGGCACATTTCCACCCTGGGACATCATGACAGCTGCTGCATTGCTCATTCTTATCAAACCTTAAAAGATAAAGATAAAACTTATCAAGTCTTGGATTTTTTGCATACGGAAGATTTATAAGTTATTTTTAGAAGAAAAAATTTATTTGATAATAAAACATTTCTTGTTTGTCCAAAATAACCTGAGGACACATAATTTCTGTCTGAAAGTTTAGATTCCCTGGTATAAAACAAACAAGGTCATGATGAAGCTTTTCCTTTGGCAAAAAAACCTTTAAAAATGCTATAGAAGGAAACACTACAGACTCATGAATTATATGAGTCTGACTTGCCAGTAAAGCCAGAAAGTGACAAGACTGTATCCAAGTTATACACATATTAAGGGTTTTGTATAACCTGATAGTAGAAAGTAACTGAGGTGCTGTAAGAGAGAAAATTTTCCATGTTTCACTTCCCCAGGCTGCTACTTTACAGAATGGTTTATACTGTTGACCTGTTGGTTGTATTGTTGTTATACTGTTTACATCCATACTGTTGACCTGCAGGCAGGACCCGAAGCTCACGATGGTCACAGTGAAGAGCAGCTGCTTTCAAAGTAAATCTTTCCTTAAAAGTTTAACATTGCCTGTCAAGCACAACGATTTCACTACTGTTTAATTAGCCTTCTACAGAGGCAAAATGTTCTTTTCATTCCTCCTCATCAACAGCCACACAAAAAGTTTATGAGAAAATAGAGACTAACAATGACTGTCCTCTCCTTCCCATAATTATAATGGATTTAATCTAAAATAGTTTATTATGGCACACTGAATAAAGGCTTATATTTAATCTCATAACAGAAAACTGCAATAACTTGTGAACATTTTGAAGTATCCTTGCCTGTGGTAAGAAGGTTGGAACTAGATGATCTTATGGTCTCTTCCAACCCTAACCATTCTGATCCTATGAATTCACTTACTAGACTCTTCTGCTTTAACAGTCTTTATGCAAAAAAAACCCAAAACCAAATCCCAAACCAATTACTTCAGTGCTTGTGGGACAAAATGCAGCCAACTATTTAGTTTACATAAAGCAGGACATGGTTTGACAGCACAGAAAGAAGAACTCACATTCATTAAAATGGCAATTAATTCTGCAAACAACAGCTGCTATAACCAATGAAATTTTATGATTAGCTTGGTAACAAATTCCAAAGTGCTAAAGCTAAACAAGTAAGAACCAAAGGGATTTACCTTGTCCCCCTTGCATGGGAAACCCCGCTTCCATTCGCACTGAGTTGCTTGCTCCCAGGGGCCCGTTGATTCGGACATCCTGGCTTCTGTTCTGAGCTAAAGCTAAATTGATAGCACCTTCCCCTGAAAGTAATGAACAGTTTGGGTGAACTGAATGATACACAGAAAAGCAGAATACAGAGAACAGATTTTATCTCTAAGTCACACTTTAGAAGGACAGTTACGCATCACATTACATTTATCTTCTGGATTTCAATTGTAAGAAAAAGGAAGACCATGAGAAGTATTAAATGCCCTTGGTTTCAGCCTGAGTTGCTATTGGACAGCTGTGCAGAATGGGTATTTTAACTGTGAAATCCACTGAAAACTTGGTTTTGAGAAAACTTCGTATGAAACAAGTAAGAGAAAATAAAACGAATTGGGCACATTTTGCTAGCTAACACTTAAAGACCATTCTTCAGGGTGTTTCCTGATGCTCAGAGCATGTTCAACTATCATTTTTATTGTTAATCCTATTCTTGAAAGAATAAAAGCCCTGAGCTACCTTTCCACTGCAGCCACTCTCCAAATGCCTAAATTAGAAGTTTTACAAGATTAACCAAGCACACAGAACCACTTCTCGAGCATACTGACATTTTAGCTTACTGCCTCTGCAAGCAGATGAGCTGTGAAATACCTTCAATTTGAACTGAGAGAATTCCCAGGTCGCGAAGCTGCTGGTTATTATTCTGAGCCAGAATTCGCAGCCGCTCGGCAGCTTCCCGGGGTATATTGAAGGTGACACGGACACTGTTCCAAGGCTCGATCTTCTGCAGTTTTAACTTGTTGGATTCTTGAAAGAAGAACGGTCAGAGTCAGGGCAAAGGCAGTTTTCAATGCATATGATGAAATAACTTGGGGGAAAAAGCACAGCTGAAAACATGGAAACGATTATTTCACTTTGAAAATGATGAGTGGTTAGTCTCAGGTACAGGAGGTATCTCCAGCACAGGCAGACGTTGAGTGATGCTGCCAAATCACTTCAGGTATCTTCCAAAAATCAGCAATATGAAAACTACCCAACTGATACCCAACAGCCAACACAAGCACTTGATAACATCACTCAAAAACTGAACTGTTCTGTGGATAAACTACTTTGGAAAGATGATACAAAAATATCTAATGAAACTGATCTAGTTGATCTGTTAGTGATTTAGATGGATGTGTGACAGAACTGACTACAAGAATGAAATCCTCATTCTGGAAATACATGCTCTAAAAATGCTTGTGAAACCAGGATTTCGTTAATTTCTACCACATTATTTAGCTTTTCTGAATAAATTTGTTTAATCCACTGAAAAAGAAACATATTAAAGTCGTGCAAAATACTAACTTGCAGGTTTTCTGGGCACCTATTCTACAAATCAGCATTTCAATGTAGGAGCAATCGTTTTAAAAGTCCCAGGTCAAATTAGTAAAAAGGCTGGGCACTCATGTTGGATGCACTTCTCTGAAGTGGCAGCTAACTAAATTATTGCTACAGAATGCATTTAAGGATAACTAAAAACATTCTAACACAGGTTTATAAACTTCCAGTTTCTAGCTGGCTGAAAAGGAAATCCTTTAGAAAACAGTAAGCATTGGCCCAAAGTTTAATCAGCCAGTTCCCCCGCTGCAACACCACATTTACTAAGAGCTTGCTAACCTTTTCATTCTGAAGCACATGTCATTTAAGAATGCCAATAACTCACTCCTGTTTCGGAATCTCTTGTCCTTAACTAATTCATCAAGTCCCTTCTGCTGCTACAGAAATGATATTATTAAATTTAATCCTCTTTCAACACGTAACATATTTTCAGCTGGAAACATGACAGGAATAGTTGTAAAACCTCCAAACCATCACAACACCAGATCCTTATTAAGGGAGGCTGTCTATTAGGGAAGATGGTACTTCAGCAAGCAAGACCACACAACTGAGCAGTTCTAAGTAATCACTGTAAGACCCTTTGTAAAGATGCTCAGGTAGTGGACAGATGTCTTTGTCCAGATCTATATATGCTGGTGGAGGACGTTATTGTCCCAAAAGCCTGTTATCAATCACTTGCTACAACACCCCAGAGCTCAGTGGGTGCACAAGGGTGTATGGCAGCACTCCATGTCCCCCATCAGAAAACAGAAGTCAGGTAGGTATGTCAGTGTAGCAGCAAAGGGACAGTAATGTCTTAAACTGACTCAGTTACTTGAGAGTGGACCTATTCTCAGATGAAAAGCAGTGGTTTAAATTGCATGGGTTTGTTAGTAAAAAACATCTTGGGTGTGGACAAGCCTGGTTTCACTTGAATATAACACAACATGTGTAATGAAGGGAAATAAAACAGAAAAAATGCACAACAAATTAAGCATGGGAATGGAACAGGAATAAATGAACTCACTAATGAAATCAGTCTTAAACAACAAAACGGCTGTAGAACCTTGTAACCTGTGTCTCTGAGAAGAACAGCTTCCAAATGCACCAACAACAATAACCCCAACAAATCTTATTACAAACTAAAGAACTCGAAAATAATATAACCCATTTCTTTGTGCAAGCACCCTGACTGCGCAAATAAACATTCTGAGAACAGCTGAAGAACAAGAAGAAGGTATATTACCCATGTGTAAAAGGCCAGGCACATTCTCCAGTATGATATCTAGTTTCTGCTCAAAGTCTCTGTCACCTATATTTCCTTTAAAAGCTACAAAGATCGTGGAATCCTCAGGAGCAGCCTCCTGTTTCAGTTCATCTTCCTCCAGTCCTGAATCAAAATCCACCTCTAAGTCTTCCATAGCTGAGGAGTACAAGGAGGCATATGTATCCTTTAAGTTAGGTAGACCATCCAAAACCATTGTTTCCACCAAAGGCAGCCTGTCAGACGTTCAGATGAGGCTTGGTAGGAAAAAAATAAATTACAGTAAGTGTAACAGGAAGTGTCTAAAGACATCAACAACTGCTTTCAATGGCTCACAAGATAAATGATGGAAAAACTTACCGGGTGACCCAGTACCAGGGTCTGCAAGACAAACTGTGTCACTTTGAAAATGGGGGCCATGGCAGTATCCGAGCTGTTTGTCCACTAGAACAAACAGAAGTGGTTTCCTCACAGAATCCTGCTGCACATGACTTGAGAAGTATTCCAGTTGACCTAAGTGACAGTCAGGTAGAAAGAAAGGTAGAGGGGAAAAAAACAACACAACAAAAAAATCAATTACACTCATCTCCATATGGTCCAGAGGACAAGCAAATACCTGGTATCAGTTCTGCAGTGCCTGACTGCCAGGCAGCTGTAAGACTCACAACACTAATTATAGAAAGACAGGGAAAAATAACCAATTTAGTTTTAGGAACTGCAAATGCAATAGAACTCCTCTGTCCAGCAGAGCAGTAGGAATGCTGTAGCACATTTTTACCAGGAGAAATTCAGCATTTGACAAATACTTTACTCACATCCAGGGAAATCTCAGGCATACTATGGCTTCTTTCTAAAAGACTGTAAAGATGTCAGTGTTTTCAGCTGCTTATGCACATTACAACCTGAAGTTTGCTCCTTCTGTGCTAGCCCACAACTCCCCTCATGCCCCTGTTGAGAGTGGACAGGAATGAATTCAGTAAATCAAGTCATACACACCTGAAGATTTTTGACTGTCTAAGATGTGTAGATTTTGCAATACATTTTACTTGGCATGATGATAGTAATCTAACATGTTATGTGTGCAGAAGCACAAACTATGATCTACATCTACGGTGAGCAATGTTTAGTTAAGATACACATTTTCCCACTCCACCACAAGCCGTTACAAGGGCATTCACTCCTCCAGATGAGACCTCCATCCTCACACCCAGAGCTTCTTAAGTACTGCTAAAATATTAAAGCCATGTCAAAACCAAAAAAGGCACCTGTTCCTGACCACCACTGTCAAAAACAAATCAATTCAACAGCCAGGACTGTCAGGACCTCGTAACTCCAAAGCTGTCAGTATTCAGCTCAACCCACCCAAAGTATTCAGTGTGGGACAACATCCCCTTGAACAGGATACAGCCTGGGATTTTGGCAGGGGCTCAAGCTCCCAGCACAAATCAAAACCATAACTCTGAGATTAAAGGTGAGCTGTGGATATTGGCCAGAAAACAGCCTTTTTTTTATAAAAATACATAACTATGTTAGACAAGCTTAGATTCAACTCTACACTGTTTGCACACTTGCATCAAGCTGCTGAAGGGACAGTATTACAACTTGGAAATCACAAAATAGCCTCAGCTTTTGGTCAGGTCTCCATGCACACACTTACTGTGATTTTACATAACATCTTTTTGTGCTCCCTTGCAACCCTACACTAGGCAGGCTAAATGGCATTAATGAATAATCACCTATTCTACATACAGTTACTCTCTTGATACTGCAGCATCAGGCCTTCGTTCCCAAACACGACACGGATTAACTAAGCTAATTTTGTCTCACAAGCAACACAAAGTAAGTAAAACTGTTTCGCAGCCACTGATCATTTCCATGGTGCTTTCATAAGTTACTCATTACCATGGAAATTTTAATGATGGGGAACAGAGACAAAAATTGAAAACATTCATTACCAGGTGAACATGGAGACAAATCTTTTTGATGGCAGACTCTCTGATGCTCTGGTCTGTTTCTACATTACAGGTCTGAGTGTTTGGCACCTCCATTAAGGTCCATGTCAGGTGCCCAGGAAACAGAAATTACAATTACTAAGCATCTGTGAAAAGCTGTTTTAATTGATTTTCACACTAATTTTTTGGACATGGAATTTCCTTACCAAATGAAAACTGGCTTTACACCAGCAAGGAGAGAATTTCTTCTCCTTCTGCATTCTTACATCATTCATTACACATACACTGACTTCAGGGAGAAAGATGCTGGGAGTCCTACACAATCTTTTTAATGACACAGCTATTCTGCATCCTGTGGAACACAAGCACTGTATTTTGAAGAAAATTAAATAGAAAACTATTTTATCTGAAAAATCTTGAGTAAGATTTTCAGGGAGAGAAATCTCAGCTCCATGCATTTCAACACCTAAGAGCTCCCGGCTTCTAGGTGCTGAAAAAGCACAACTACTTGGAGGGGATGGGGTGTTCCACCTGCAGCAAGAAACACGAGGACTCCTGACAATCCCTGACACCAAAGAAATACAGATTTTTCTGTAAGAAGATAAACATTTCAAATCTTTTTATGACCAGAAGTTTCTGAAGGATCCATCTTCTCTGTGAAAGAGCAGAAGTCACCCAGACTGCTTAAACCATAGTTTTAAAGAGTCCATGAAAATGCTGCAGTTTAGACCACATTCCACCAACCTCACCTCAACGTGCCAAAATCTGTCAGGATTTGTTGACATTATGGCCCTTCATGACCACTATTAAAACACAACTTACTAAATCCGAAAGGACCACAGGCCTTGTTTCACTTGACTTAGAAAATCACAGAACTGCAGAAAAAGCTTGAGTTAAGGGAAAAAAAACTCTAAGACTAAGCTTTAAATTTTCCTTTCTGGACAAGAACACGTAAGTACAGCTACCCTTGCATTTTTTCTTCATATGATACTCAAGGATCTCTGATACATCCATCTTCCCTCTCTCCCTGTCAAACACACGCAGTTTAGTCCGCTCCCGTATTCAGGTGTAATTTATCTCAAGCATGACAGGAGAAAATAATGATTTGTGAAAGCTTCCTCCTCAAGCAGAGCACAGCACGCCAGCCATCTGAAACCATATGAATCCCAGCTGCATCCCTCGCCCTAACTAATTCTGTAATCTCCTGCTTCTAGGGTTGACTTCCATAAATCAGGAGCCAGCACATGACCATAATCAGTGTGTACCTCCGCTCGACACTCTTCCACATAAACACAGAAAGCCTTTAGCAGAAGCATACACAGGTAAAACTCTGGTTGCTTAACGATTCCTGTGAACTAGATGCACCCCCAGTGGGATCTAGAGTACCCCTGAAGAATAAGAACCATACTCAAATTGATCTGCATAACACAGCACATTTCATGAACTTGTGCACTCATGCTCATGTGGCAGCACAAAAAGGTCTCTGAACATCATCCTCCATTCACAGAACACGTGTGGCCTCCTTCCTGCCTCTGCACCCTCTTGTTTTAGAGTTTCCAATTTAGTATTTCCCATTACACAGCCACTTCTGGAAACCCAGAGCAAGCCCAGTGCTATCATGTGGCAACCATGAACCTGGCCTGGGGCAGGCTACAGCAGCAGGAAAAGTTATGCCTGTTTATTATAAAGTTGGTCTTGTTCAGTATAGTATAATATTAAAAATACATTACTGAAGGCAGAGAGGTGGTGATAAGAAGCCAGGTAACAGACTAGCAACCAGAATGCACCTGCAGTATCATATGGGGGCAGGGGGTGGCAGGGGACAGCTCATGAAGATCAGAGTGTCCGAACTGAAGGACAAAGGGTCCATCCTGGGCTTTGGGATGCTGGAGCTCCCAGGTATGCTTGGCATATGGATAAACCCAACTAAATTAGTTGGGTTTAGACCAACTAAAATGTGCATGATGAATTCTTACATGTCTTGCACCATTCGGTGATTCTATGGATACTCCCCCAAGGAAGAATTCATGTAGGAAACAACAATGCCACAGTCCAGATCCGTGTTGATAAGACAGCTGGGTCCCAGCACATCCCACAGGGAACCTAGAAGCCATGTGTCATGCCATGTGTTGTCCCAACCAACAGCCCTGACAGGAAAAGGAAGCCTGCACAGCAAATCCAGTGCCGCATGATCAGCAATGCTTGGAAAATCTTGTCAAGTCCCTGGGAGAGACAGGATTAGGGCGAATTCTGTAACATCCAGTTGTCACTAGCTGGGGAGCAGCTGAACACGGGAAAGCCAGCAGGCTCTGGAGTGCCAGCACCACCACATGGAAGGGCTGGTCTCTGGGGTTAAAAAAGACAAGGAAAGGGAAAAAACAAACGGGTATCTTGGTATCCCCATTCCAAGATCCACTCAACTGATCCAAACTTAAGGTTATGCCAATTGGTTTCTTAAACAGAACTTTATGCCTTTTGCGTTGCTTTCTTCTAACCACTGCACTACACAGAGTAAAGCAAAACAGCTTTACTGGTGTAACAGCTCATCAGAGGTTTTCTGTGACACAGCCTATTGATTTACAAGCTGTTTATACATTTCGAGCAACACAGAACAAACACTTTCACAACTGATGTCACACTAGAACATGCACCCTCTCAAAATAAATATACAGGGAGCCCAATTAGATAAAAAGTACTAAAATCCTGCTCTATGCCTGAAAAAGTACTCTTCAAAAATCACACAAAACACTGGAAAGGGTGAGAGCAGAAGGAAGGATGGGCTGATGTCCTTCACTAGCAGATGGCAGGAGTCAGCACTGAGCAAGGTCCTCATCCTCACACTGGCCTGCAACAGGGAAGAGAAAGCAAAAACAGCCCAGAGATGAGACTGCAATCAGGGTCCCTTGGAGAATCCAGAACTGACAAGTGAGGAGAATAAGCCTTTGATAGCAGTGGCAACATAATTTCCCAGGTGTATTATCTTAATACAACTGTTTCAACTGCTTTGTTGCCTAGCCTGGTGGTCCTAGTTACACCTGACCAAGGAATAAACCTATAAACACACAACCGTTCTACGACACAAAGACTAAAATGACTAATTGTTTTGGGCAAAAATACACTCAAAAGACTTTTTAAACACGTTTTCCATGCGTGTCACATTGTTACACAAGGGGATTAAATAAGGCTAAGAATCCCTGTTACAATACAAAAGAATACTCCATGCCCATGGTAAAGGGTTGAACTAGATGATCTTTAAGATCCTTTCCAACCCAAACCAGCCTATGGTAACACCTAAAAATAAACTTAAATATGCAGTAAAATTTCCTCTGACAAAGCTTAGTGACTTGGAACTCCAAATATTGGCTTTAAAGAGGGATAACACCATGAAACATAGTCTTAGCTGTGGCAAATGCCCATAACCTCCTACGGCAGACTGAGAAGTCTGGAGCCAGCCCTTCAAACACACACAAGCATTACAGGCCAGGACCTATTAGCAGGACAGCTGGGAGGAGATCATATACAGAACAAGAGATATTCAGATACATCATATGCTTATCTTACCTACCAAAAAAAATCCACAACTTCAGTACTTCGGGGCATGCAACAGGTCTTCAGGTAATTCCAGACTGGCAAACATGGCTGAACAGCAACTCCCAAAAATGTAATCCTGAAAGAAAACCATCCCTCATCAGAAAATGACATAAAATAACAAAAATACTGA